TTTACCCAGAGTTTGTTCATACTAACAATCTTTTTTCTTCTTGAATGCAACTGGAAATGTTCTCAGAAAACAAATTTTATTTGACATTCGAAGTCAATTCACAGTATTTCCTCAGTGATTTAATTCTTTGAAGTCACCAAAATGAGGTCGATGAGATTTTGAGGTCTAACAGTGGGGGCCCGCTACTGTATACTACTTGCCCAATTCGAGCAGCCCAAATTCTTCCAAAGAGAGGAAAATGCTGCGAAAATCACTCAGATGACGGATCCGCCACGTTGGCTCCTCCTCTGAGAGTGGGCGTGACCTTCGTCCCTCCCATCCGTGAGCGACCAACCAACCACTGTCTCGCAGAACTCGCATTGAGGGTTCTGCGTAACGGGGCTTGTCGGGGTTTTCGCGCATTCTCGACTTGATATGCGGAATCAGGGACATGGGAAGGCCCCGGAACGACAAAGACATGGAGGTCGAGAGGAGACGGTGCCTTTAATGCTTAATTTCGGAAGCAGTGGCGTTCTGCACATTTGCAATATTTGGACTTTTTACCAAAGAAGTAAACGGATGTCCGCAACCGCTCCCTAGTCAAAACAAAAAAAAAACGAAGTTCTCTCCGATATTGAATGTAAAGGAAGCAGATCTCGCAAAAAAAATGAGATCAGGACTACAAGCAGCAGAAAATTCGCAATCTTTATTTGTGTCACAATGAGGAAAGGTGTGCGATCAGAGCTCAACAGATGTGTTCCTATAGCAAACTTGTTCAAAAGGAACCGGAAACATTGCAGCAGCGATATCTGTATCAAAATACGCCACTGAATTCCAATTATGCAATTGTCTTCATGCAAATACCCGTAAAAAGAAGTTTCCCATCTGATCGGTACTTCAATGACATTTTTTTCAGAGAATGCGTCCAAATACGCAGCGACACCGCATGCGAGCGCGGTAGAGCATCGTACTGAGCGGGCACTGTCTCGCTCCACCATGGACGCAGGTTGACACCTTTCTATGTTTGCTATAACCCGCTGCTATAACCTATTTTGGAAATATCTTTTTCCTTTTCGACATTATGTGCAATTCTACAACCATGTAAGAGACTCTCTCAAGACGGACAAAAAAATTTCCTTATAAATTTGAGCAGGAGGGTGATACTGCTCCAGGAAGTCGAGTATAAACATTCGTGTGTTGCAACCATGGTCGAGCGTGGGGTCAGGAGCGCCCGACCTGGGTTCGTATTGGGGGTAAGAGCAAGGGGGGAAGGGTCGCAATCAAGGAGCCAATTTGTTCAAAAAAGTGAGGAAATATTACGATCGAGTAAGATGAAAAAGAAAAGCGCTCAACCGTGAATTTCACAACTCTGAGGAATGACTTTCGTGAACAGCATGCTGATTAACACATTCACGATAAGGCCAATTTTTCGATTACTGCCATTTCGGACTAGAGCCTTTTCGCTTTGTCAAATTTCCCACCTGGGTCGTATTGTCCAAAATGGTAGTGTTTTGGAAAAAAAATTCAAAACCTGTTTCCGAGAATCTCCGCAGAGGGCATATTGAAGGCGTTGATCATTAAAATATGATTTATTTTAATTTTGGCGTCATAAGGTAAGGTTACGGTAGTCACTTGTACGAACCCAACATTATAGATTTTCATGAAAAAGGTGTTTTGGGATTATTACTCGTGCTCATCATGATTATAGTGTCCATGTCATTCACCACTGTGCCACAGTGGTGTTACGGTAGCAGTAACTTAGAATTTTCTAAAAATCAAAACTGGTGTAAGAAGGCGGTATTAGAACTTGAGACTATCATTTTCGTAATCAGCATGCTAAAAAACCTATATATCTAAGATTTGAGTTTCCTGTGATGAACAATGTAAAAAATCAATAAAATCAATAAATCGAAAATCTTTGATGGGCTAGCATCAATCTTTTGCCAGCCCTGACTCTTGTGCATGTATACTTAAATTTTGAGAAACAGCGTCATTCTACGAAGAATATGAGTTAAAGTTTGTGCTTTATCGGCCTCCTACTGTAATACCGAAAAATTTTTGGGGTGCTTCCCAAAATTTTTCCGGGCCCCTGACCCTAAAATTTCAAAAAAAGGGGCGTGAATTTTTTTACAAGGCTGCTTCGAATTTTTAAAAATTATTTTAATTATTTACAAGTGAAAACAAGTCCTCCGCACGTTTTTATAACATGTTTAAGTAACTTTCAAAAATTTCACGACCCATTCTCAGGGGGAGGGGGGGAAGGGGGGCGCCCCCCTCCCCCCTCCTCTCCCTCGGTCCACTGCCTTACAGTATCCCGACCCCGAACCGCTATTACTGGAACTTCGACTAGGTATCCCCAATCATATGCCAGAACCCGGTAGAATTCCATCTTAAATTGGCAAAGATAGAACTTCAGGAATCTTACGACCCATCGGTGGGTCATATTGTCGTAAATGGCAGAACACGTACGACCCACCGTTGTGTTGTCGTGAATGTGTTGACTCGACTAACGAAGTCTCAGCCAATACCCAATTCTTTTACCTTACACATACCGTAAGTTCACCAAAGAAGCTTTCTATGTAAATTAGGTGTTTTCTAACGTCTAAGAAGCATGATTTTCATGATTAACTTGATCAAAGTGAAAGAAGTCAGCTTTTTTGTACTCATAACAAAATACTACTCTTTATCAGACATAACAAAATACTCTCTTTATCTATGGTAGAGATTAGAAATCATATCGTTCTCAAATAATGAATTAAGAAATGCTGCAAGAATGTTAGTCACCGCGTTTTCTAAGTCGGGTGCTTCAACTCCACCTATCACTACAAAGCCAAAACCAGTCGATTGTAAAATCTTCAAGGTTTATGCCGGCAAATCATCTATAAGGTGGGAAAGCTTCTTCGGTGATAAAGTTGATCGGGTCAGGCGCAACCCCTCAAAAGGTCAGGCTGAGCTTTCGATGGGTTGCGCCTGACTCTCTTAACTTACCTTCAAAATCCAGAAATCACTCCATTCGTGGTATAACTATTCCCATAGCTTCTTCTTGCTACAGTGGAAACTGGAGCCGAACGCCCCATCCCTAGAAAAATTACAGCCCTTTCAATAGGCCCATTCAGATCAAAATCAGAAGCCGATTATGTGTGATTGTAAAGTGCAGTCACAGAAAATCGGGAGTACAGTCGAAAGATCTGAAAACTCTCTAGAAAAGGATGATGTCCTCGCATGTCACATTCTGAAGTTCCGGAGATCAAGGGGGAAGGAAGAAGGGGTGGTTTGAAGGCTTTCATGAGAAGGGGGGGGGGGCATTTTCGCAAGACCTTGTGCCTGACCTCTTGCTCAACTCTGGTTGCAACTCTGCATATTCGATAACATTTTCAAGAGCTACCTGCCTTCCGCTTGGTAGAATTCAAGCTCCATGTATTTGCCGTGTGTGTTTGATCTTAACCTCTTGTTCTCATTTATGTTGTTGTTTTCGGCGCATGCACTCTCATGCAATAAATAATGATGTATTATATTTGAAACTGTTTTTATTGTCTTCATTTTCCATCGAGATAAATCCTTACTATATCACAAATGGTACTCCCTGAGAATATACAGCACAAATTATAATTACTCTGACAAAAGTAGTCTATCCGCTGCCTCTTCTGACATTCTGCTATGCCTGGGTTGGTGTGGACGATATGGCATGTTGCAAAATGACTTTCCTTGCATCAAGTCCTCCTTTGAATGGTTTCTGGTGTCCGGGCCCACGGAAGAAATATGGCAAAACATCAGATATTGCTGACCAACTCTTCAACATTCCGTTTTATTCGCGCATGAGATAGGCGAAATGCTTGCAAGCCAGCTTTGGAAGGCAACGGATGCCATGTTGATTGTGAATAGTATCTGGAAGTCAAAAGCACTAGTAACAAAAGAGTAACAAAAGTGGGGTCTACAGCATGCGAATGCAGACAATTTCAGCTGTAGACAATGCAACAACAGAGCAATGCTTGTGTTACTGAAGGCAGTGTTAAGGCGAAATGGGCACGAAGCTTCCACGAGCAAGAGCGGTGATGGGGGAGGGGGAGCCCAAAAAAGGCAATGTTCAAGCGAGCGCAAATGATACAACTGGAGCTGCAAAATTCATCTCCAAACTTGTCGCTGATACCGTATTTGGCGGATGGCTTTCATCGTTTGCATGCTAAGCATGGGAAATCACCAAACTAGTTATGAGGACCCATCACGAGTGAAAAAACAATGCAAGTCGACGAAAGTCGTCCACCATGGTAGCCGGGTTTGGCTTAGAGATGAGTATCTTAGCTGCGAGTGCAACATCTGCGCTGCCGCTTGGACGGTGTCTTGTTGGGCCCACAAAGTCAGTTTCCACGTGCGATCACTATGTGTTCAACATTGCGTGTACGTTGCCTTTGAATCACTAGAGAAGTGAGACATACCTAAAGGGCCCGGCATACTTCACGCGATTTCAGTCGCGACGCGATTTGGCAGTATTCCAAATGTCCATAACTCACTGTGAGCACATTTTATATCTATGGAAGATAGGGCAATTTATCCATCTACGTAAGTGATACACACTATGCATGTGCAGTTTATTAGTGTTGGATCTATAGACTTCTGGCAAATTGCCAAATCGCGTCGCGACTGAAATTGCGAGAAGTATGCCCGGCCCTTAATGCGATGGCCATAGACAGAATCACATAACACGTTGAAGAGAACTGACGGTTACTGACTTGTACAAAATCCCACTCCATCAATGATAAATTCAGGGATTATATGCTCGAAAGTGAAAAACAACGAAAAAGCTTCAGATGCAAAGATGATGAGCTTCAGCCTATAATGGAACACCCTGTTACAACGAGAAATAAAAAAATGAAGTCTTTCTGAAAGCGTCAGACGGATCTTACAATTAGGAGTTAATAGTCGATATGCATCAGCTTAGCGCAACGGCATAATTCTTCAGAATAACTGTAGGTCCAAAAAAATCTTCAGAATAGCTGTAGGTTACAAATAAAGTGCACACTCACGCAATGTTTCATTTCCACTTTTTATAGCCCTGCCCATTGTCCGACTCCTGATTCATGTCCTTGTGTAATAAACTCGATTACCGGAACATCTCCAGAAGGATGTTTCTTGAGGCAAACAGTTCCGGCCTCAGTGTTGTATTCGCATCCGCATCCATTGAGGTGGAAAAGCTCAAGAAGCTTTCTACCTTTCACTACGAAAAGCCTGTCTAGCAAAGCTGGATCAGTTTCATCTAATCGAAACAGAACTTTGCCGTCAGAGCAATAGCCATTCTGAAAGAAAACATTTTACTCTGAATCGATATAATATAGATCGATATAATTTCATTAAACTTACGAACCACTGCTTCGCCTGAAGATATCAACAAGTCTTCGTGTTTACTTGATGTGCCCAAAAGTTCTTCAGCAAGGAATTCAGCGTTTCGAGGGCCCGCAATTGTCATCTCGTCAGGAGGCTGACCGTCCATAGAAGTGTGACGTCCGGAACTTGATGATGCCTCCTCCAATTTATTCCGAACATCTCTTGAGACGGGTCAATTTCAAACAGTAGCTCACCTCGACATCTTCAGATCCTTTCCCATCTGGGTTGGAAGCCTGAGGCAAGCTCCAACAACCGTGAACATAGTACTTTTTTAAGTAAATATTTAGGTAGCGTGTAACATCAGCGCCGCTCACAGTAGTTCCGTCCTAATAAGTGATTCACGATCTGATTCTTCGCCGCTGCTCTGTCAGAACTAACCGTAAACGTCATCGCATCATTCAAATCAGCTAGGATTTGTGCAGGGATTTCACCATTATCGATGTATGACACATCTTCTTTAGTAACAGAGACCTTTCCGCCACTGGCAACTATTTCTGCGAGGATATACTGCGCCTGTATAGATATACGTAGATAAATGTAGTAGCTTCCGAGGCTAATATTGTGTTCTTACATTGCTAACAACATCTGCGCGTGAGCGATGTCAATTTGCGTTCTGTGACCATTCTAAGCATGTATCGTCGTCTCCAGGATATCGTACGTTAGATAAAGCATCAATTCTAAAGATTTACTACTTTTATTTTTCAAAGATTGCACGTAGGTAAACTATTTGACTATCGTCAATTCAGGACCGCAACGACTGGGCGCCGTTGCGTCCGACGAAGAAAGTTTGTGCATAGGAGAGTCAGCAGACGGTAAGAGGAACGAGAGAGTGCTCGATCACAGAGACGCCGATATGTCCGCAGTCTTTGCGTGCTACGAATCGCCTGTACTTTAACACATTCACGACGATACGACCCATCGGTGGGTCGTAAATGTCCTGCAAACTCGGACGATACGACCCACCGGTGCGTCGTATGTTTTCTAAACTTTTTGAAAACTGAACAAACTTCTACATACAGTCGAGTAGATATTCCGCTTAATGTGTGCTTGCACAGTTTATGAAATGTGGTAAAATTTGCGCGTGAACCAAACCCAGCAGTGCGAAATATGCTCTGCTTCGAAGTGGCAGTCCTCGAAAAATCGGCCTTGTCGTGAATGTGTTGAAGCATGTCTGTTCCTACTCTTTCGTTATGTGGCCGGACATATATCACGCGGTTTTATCGCCCCGCAATTCTCTCAAAAAGATAACTGTTACCAGTGCGTTGCAAGCCGGTCAACTTGCATTTCGGTTGTGATAGTTTTTGGACTCGTAAATAACTGTTACAACCGAAATCCAAAATGATCGGCATCCGATGGACTCGCAACAGTACCCAGTCCTGTCGGGAGAATCGCGTGGTGTATGCCCGATCCCTGTAAGACGTGGCTTGCATATGTTCTCCATAGAACTTCAGCAAGTTTACCAACGTGATCAAATATCTGTAATGCTCCGCCCAACCTATCACGTGAAGACGATTATAGCAGAACATGCGTTTGCTTACCCAAGAGTGGCATTATTTTCGTGCAGATGTTGTTATACAGCAAGGACTCAATATCAAAGCCAGACGTATGTACGTTGAACAAAATCCGATACTAAGAACTGTTGGACTCACCGCGCTTATGTAATGTCCAAGGCAGATAAATTTTCTCCCGCGTATATGAGCAAAACAGCTTTCCAGAAACTCTTCCGTAGTTGAGGTGGCGAGTTTGAACGCAGCCAGGAAGATTGCGTTGTGAGTCTTACTGTCGGAAGTACGCGATGTATACTTCGGATCAACTTTGTTCTTGCAGAAAAAACATGTGTATCCCATGACTGTAAAGTTCTCTCAGATTGGTGATTTGATACAAGAACCTTCACTGCCAAGGTAGCTTTCGTGCGATAATAGCGTCTTGCTTTCGGAACCACAATCAGATATTTATTTCACGTCTTTCTTTTACCAATTCAGCACTACTAAGCAGTCTTATTTCCTAATCAGTTCTTTCCTTTCTTCCTAGAACACAGCTTCACACCTGCCGGCATAATGGAACGCAAGAGATGTTCTTTGAATGTGATTCCCAATAGAACTTCATGCTGAATATTTTGCGAACACTCAGCACCTGCTACAGAGGGTGTCTGAAGCGCCTAAACAATCAAGCCAATGTGGCGATCACATAAGTGAACGATGTGCGCCTACCTATTCACGATCGAGTGTGTCCAATGAATCTGTCTGACAGTTGTGTCCATCTATACTTCGTGATGATATCGCAACTCGTGTTTGGCACTAATCACTTCTACAGGGGAAATAAATATGTCCAAGACTCAGCACGCCTACAAAGCCCTTTTCTACAACAATGAACGAAACAACCTCTTTGTAGGAGAATCTCTAACCTGAGAAACTTTATTGAAGTGTCGGAAGTCCGCGCTGATATCTATCGAAGTTTGATGAACATGAGCATGATTCTTAATGGGCATCAGTTGCTTAACAACAAAATTAACCTGAGAAGTAACAAAATCTCAAGATTCAAGTGCAAATTCAACTCCAACTTTAAAAGTCAGAACAGACGGAAATGTGCCAATTTGTTCTGCGTGTGCGGCAACTGCACAGAAAAAGACGGATGATTTTTTACGTGGCCGTTTTGTATTCCTGTAAACAGCGTCGTTTTGAAATATTTACTTAGCCGGTCAGGATTTCATTCTCAGTTTCAACCTTTTATAGGTTTTCATGGCATCCGACAAACCTCAGCAAGTCGTCGACTATTCGGCGATGCTGCCAAGCAGCATATACGATGTTTTCAAGGAGAGCTATAAAGAGTTCACTGATGTTCAAGTGAGTTTTGGTTGATGGAAATAATCATATTCTTATCACGATGAACACATTCTATCAAGCAGTTCTCCAATTCTTAGTTACGTTTGAGTTACGTTCAGTTCTCCAATTCTTAGTTACGTTTGAGTTACGTTCAGTTAATTAGAACCTCTATATCCTTCGTCGTTGTCATCCATGCAAATGCCGATTACGACTTTATTGGGCCTCTGAAACACAGTTTGCTGCAGCTGCACAGTTGCTCTTCATCTCCTCTGCAGTATCTTGTACTGCTAGAAGAATGTCGGACGTAGATTTTATGGACTATCTTTCTTTATCATTTTCGTGGTTGATTCCTAAATTGCATTTTTAGACCTTTTGAACTGAACTTTGTGAATTCTTTCTTGATGTTGTTACTTGCAAAGTCTGTACAAGTGGTAGTTCGACTTCACTAGCTCGCTGCCAAAATGTGTCTTGTCTGTCTTTTCCCCTTCTTTCTAAATAATTTTTGAATGTATAATCAACACAGGTGGCACTATCGGATGAATTTTTCCACTTTCCTGGTGATATGAGAGGCGTAGCCATCAATAATGCCATGGCAAAAGCTATTGCTTGGGGGTAGAGCGCACATACAGTCGTTCTTTTCATGTTTCGATCGATAGCGATTCTCATAGTCTTCTTTTTTATTTATTTATCTATCTATATTTATTTATTTGTTTATTTATTTATTACTTATTTATTTATTTACTTCTTCATAATATGGAGTACAGAATGCGTGAAAAAGTTTTTGTAGGGCTAGTATCTGACCCTCAAAAATTGCAGATCCATCTTCTCTTTTTCGGAGAAGTATCGCTGAGGCGGACCATCGTAGCCGGTTCGATCCTAAGTCTTCTTGCAGACTACATAATTGCAATATGAAGGGGACATCACTCATCAGAATCTGGTTTGAAACAGCGATCTCTTACTGTCACTGCCGCATCTCTACAGTCCTTGTCAATCACATGCTCCCTTTTCCGTAAACGCGATGAGCTTCGCGTCACATTCGCGCGCCTATGACTCGGACATATATAGGCGTCATCGACTGCAGGTCCTTACGCAGAGCCCCTGAGTTGCGCATGCTTAGTTTTCATGCGAAAGGGAGTACGTAATCGACCCTGACTGTAACTACCACTTTTTACTTTGGAGATCTTTTGGTAGATTCTATTTGCCTAGTTTTTACTCTAATCATTTTTTCAGAATTGATAATCTTCTTTTTTATTTAAGATTTTTAAGCCCATTCGTATTTGTAATCTCATTCGCTGACGTCCTCTTTCGTTTCTCCATATATCTTTTCTCTAATTTTTATCCTGCGATTCAAAATTATTTTTTTGCTATCTAATTAGTTCAGAAACAATTTTTCTTTGAAGCCATTATTTTATGCACTGTAAATACTTTCTTTCGTAAACTTTATTGCAGCAACAAAAAAACCGAAACAAATCACATTGAGAATTGCAAGCTTCTCAAGCAAATCTGTTCTTCTATGTACAATGGGTAATTATTATCACAAACAATCTTTTTCTGATCATGGTCAATCTCTCTTCATTTTCCATGGAAATCTGAAGGGGTTCGCTGGTTTTGGTTCTCCCCAGTCCCTGTTGATATAGATAGGATGCTCTTTGATGGTAATTCCTACCACTTTGGATAAGAATACTGCAGTCAGAATCGAAAACACAACGACCAAAAATGCGAAAACGTAGAATGTTTCCTAAAATATTGCAGATAACTATGTTTATTATAAGAAAAAGCGCGGACATACCTCATCAAAAATCTCGTTGAAAGTTGGTATGGATTGATTGATAAAATGGACAACCTCAAGAAGCCACGCTTTTCTTCCAGAAGGTCGTTTTCCTTGGTAGTAGTAGTCTCCCCAGTTGTGATCTCTCCCTTTGTCCATATTTATTGTAGCGGATCAAGTGTTTCACATTAAAGTCGAAAGAAGACTATCTGCGAAGAGATAGAATAAGAAAGAATAGCTGCGAAAAATCAATGAGGAGTACACGCACTGAGGATTTGAGGGATGTTGACTCGAGCTCCGGATCGATACTCTGCGGCGCAGCTTATTAAACTGCGGGCAGCTTTTGCACTCAGTGAGAAACTTCTTGGTTATGAATTGAGAGAATTTAACTTGAAAGTGTTTTTTGGCCTGCTAATTTTAACGAAAAAACTGAACATGATTACCATTGGTAGAAGCTTGTTCTGCATGGACATTTTTTCCACCAAAAGGACGTCAAAAACATTCAGTGGTCGTCTGCGGGTTTTTTTAAAATCTATGCTAACCTTCACGTTGGTTTCATGTTCGGATCTCTTCTTGTATATGTTGAGGTTCATAAAAGGATGTTTCTTCTTCCAATTCTCTAAACGATTTCTTTCAAATGGCGGATTTCGGGTTCTTTTCGAAACATATGCCGGGTTCAACAGTAGTTCTTAGAGTTCACTAGTCAAAGAGTTTTTGTTGCACAAGTACGCAAAGATTTTCATGGACTTTCGATTTGCAAATTTTTTTGTTGCCTTACTAAATCTTACTCGCTTTTTTCTAACAGGTTGTTCTTCTTCTTCATTTTTAGAGATTTGATTTTTTTTTCTCGAGAGATTTCCTGGTCGGTCATAAACATTCCCAATTCATATTTCATTGTCTTAGAATTCCTAAGTTCATTCTTTCATTAAATAATAAATTGTTGCTTTTTAGACTCGAGCAGGGCAAGAATTTCTCAGCCACCACGATGTTGTGGTGGAGTCACCTACAGGATCAGGAAAAACTCTCGCATATCTATTGCCTACTTTTGCCATTCTCAGCAAAAGAGGAGCGGTATGTATTTGAAAGTTTCCCGGCTTACTCCATAAGTAGTATAATTTAGTATGGCAAACACGAATTCGGTGCCGTGATCCTTTCACCATCGCGCGAACTTTCGTCACAAATAGCTACTGTGAGCATACTGCGTTTCCAGCTTTATACCTATAACGGTCATCATGGAGATGTTTAGGTGGCTGCTCCTTATGCCGAAAAGCTAGGATATTCCATAGCAGTGACAGTGGGAGGAACAAAGATAGAGCAAAATTTAAAGAAATTGAAGAATCATGGGTTGGTCATTTGCATTAATGTGATATTCTTTGTTGAGTGACCTTCATTCCAGTGGAAATATACTAGTTGCTACTCCGGGCCGTCTGTTCCAGCTTTTGTCTTTGGATAAGGATGGACGCTTGAAAAGATCCCTCAGAACTGTAGAGGTGTTGATAGTGGACGAAGCTGATCGTTTTCAAGAAACGCAGTTTGAAATGCAGTGAGTTCACCTTTCGGAGTCTTTTTCTCTTTTGCTTCGCGTTGCTTCGGCTATTTCTTCTTCTCTTTCATTTTTGTCTGTCCACAAAGTTATTCTTATTTGATAGAATTTCGTATCTCTCGGGCTGGTGCCTAAGCTTGAAGCCTTATGAAACCGCTACAAGTCTAATCGAGATCTCTTTCGAAAAAATTGCAGATCAAACTGTCATGCTTGTCTTATAGCATAGCAAGTCTAAGCACCTATATCCGTGGGAATAAGTTAGAATTGAGCTCTTGCAGGCTGAGCTGTTTTGTTTTCCAATCTGTATACATTCTTGCTCACAGCATCTTTTCCCAAAGCTACAAGTCCAAAAAGAATCATTTTGCTTTTACCATTTTATCTTTAAACGCATCTATTGCAGTTAAAGAATTGTCGATCATTCATGCTAATCTTGTCTAAAAAATTTATTCATTTGTCCGCTACGTTTAATCATATTCTTGTTTACACTCCCATATTCAGTGACAGTATATAACTATGGTGAAATTCGTTCGCCAATTTTTTCTGCGCTATTCATAACACCGAAGACACTACTTACCTTTTTCTTACCTTTTCCTGTTTCTCTTCTCCCGACACAAGTTACTTTTGAAGTCTTGAGCCCTAGAAAATGAGATATTCTTAAAGGTCGTATCTCGTTAAAATTTTCCCGCATATGCATTTTTGTTTGATCTTAGACATCATCTCTTCTGGACTGTCACAAACTTTATCTAGCAGTTTGATTCCTTTCTAAATTTTTCTTTAGTTTCAAGGAAATACTCCAGTCCTTGCCCAAGCAACGGCGTACTGGTCTGTTCTCAGCAACGCAAGCAAAGGAGATAGATGATCTTACCATGTTTGGATTGAGAAATAAGAAAATAATCAAAATAAAGGAGTCAACCGACCTAGTCTCACCTTCGACATTGAGCAATTTTTATACCGTAAGTGCTACCGTGTAGCTATTCCACTTACTTTCTCTGTACAGGTATGCGAGGCAGCAGAAAAGTTGATATGCACTGTCGAGTTCGTGCGCAACAAACCAGACAAGAAAATCCTAGTGTTCTTCCCTTCTTGCGGTGGAGTCATTTATTTTCACAAGGTTAGTGCCATATCTATCGGAAACTTTCGCCAGTCGCTTGAGAGGTTTATGTCTTAGATTTTGTCGAGAGTACTTACAAAGCGACCATTATATGCAGTACATGGGCATAGTTCGACGAGTGAGCGCTCTAAGCAGGCAAGTTTTTTCTTGCGGAGAAGAAGATCTTTAATAAAAAGAGAATTTACAGATTGAAGACTTCCGTAAAAGCGATAATGGTGTGATGTTATCAACTGATGTTATGTCCCGAGGAATAGACATTCAAGATATCGACTGGGTCCTCCAGTTTGAGATTCCAAAATTGTCAAGGTATTTGAAAACTTCTCTAGCTCTCATCAGATTTTTTTTCTCATAACAAACTTATTTAGCTGGTTCGTGCATCGGTCAGGACGAACCGCTCGTTGTGGTAGGGATGGCAATGCTTTGCTAGTGATTACCCCTCAACAGACAGCCTACATCGATTATCTACGGAAGCACGAACAAGTATGTTTTCTTTGAATTACTGCATATTTTTTGGTTTTCGTTTTTTTAGAAATATTACTGCATTTTTGTTTCTGACTTATGACTGCATTTTATGTTAGTTCTTTTCATGTTGACCACTTGCAGGTAGAACTGAAGCAGCTTTCCGTACCCACCAGCAATGCATCGAAAGCAGAACAGCTAAGAGAGAAAATTGCGAAGATTTTATGTTCGGACCGGTGAGTGCAAACTTGGCGTAACTCATTATGAGTGTTTAAATCTTTTCTGAAGCTGTCATAGATTTGTGTTGTTTTTTTCCCGGAAGTCATGCATCTGTTTGAGTTCAACCATACGTTAGCTGTTAAGGCTGTTGCCAGTATTGCCAGTGTTGCCAGTGTGTTACCGCTGTCACCGCTGTTACCAATGGTCCACTGTAACCGCTGTCTACTGTACCGTTTGTTGCAGCCTTGTTTTACCGCCGTTACTGTATACCTATCTGAATGTCCTTCTCACAACCGCATTTGCGTTCGACTTATCGCTGCGCTGGCCATTTTCTTCTACATCAGGAAAACAGTGAAAAGGCAAACTGATAACCAGCCAGCAAAAAAAGAGATTGCGAGGCTGGTCACCGAACCTTCTTTCATGTCATGTTGGCTACTTGTTCGCTTTGAATTGACTGATGGCACTTACTTTGAATGTTTAATCGGATTTACTTTTCACTAACGTAAGCGTAATTCCGATGAAACCACTTTCGTTGATCTCATGCATTTTACGCAAGTATTGTCAGCTCCTTTTCATATCCTGCAGAAGTTATGAAAAGCTTGCAACATGAGATACTTAATTTCTGCTCAAGTAGTCATATTTGCAGAGAGGTTATGGAAGCAGGATCGCGAGCCTTTGTTTCTCACATTGAAAGTTACGTCAAACACGATTGTAATATAGTATGTGGACTCAAAGGTATGTCTTTGGATTGTTCACAGTCTTCTGCTATTTTCAACTTATACGAAAGCAATGAAGTACTGTACAAGCCACTTCGACTAGAAACATGATTATCTCATGGTCAGATTTGGACGTTGCCGGATTGGCACATGCCTACGGCCTTTTGCGGCTGCCGAAAATGCGAGAGCTAAGTGGCCGGAAGGATTTGGACAGTTTCAAGAGAAGCGATATTGACACGTCAACGATAAAATACGCCAACCCCGCTCTGGAGAAAAAACGAACTGAGGTGCGGAATGTGCTAGTGCTACCTTACTGCTACACATGAGTTTTCAGATAATGGCGGAAAAACACGAAAAAAGATTGAAAGCGATGAAAGAATTTCTGGCTAAGAAGTCAATGAATAAAGGGAAGGATGGCAAGATAATTAAGAAAGATGGCAAAGCGCAGAATGGAAAGAGCAAGGTTTGTGAGGAGTTTAACTGAACGTTGAATAAGTTTCCTGTTTTAGAACTCGAAACCACTAAAAAGGAAAATAGAGCAGAATGATGCTGAAGAGAAGGACGATTTGGAAAATGACATGAAGCTCATGAAGAAGATCAAGAAAGGAAGATTAAGTAAAAAAGAACTTCGGAATGTGTTGTAACCATCTTTGCTATGTATAATTCAAAATTATCGTGTCAAATGTTGTTGAAGCTTGATTGTTGATTTTGTGCATTGATTTGCAAATTGTTGTTACTTGTTTGAGTATAAATACTAGTTACTTTTTGGGGTTGCGGAGTCGTGAGATAGAGTCGATGCTTGATTCTATTTTCTCATGCTTGAAGTCTGGAAAGGAGAAGTGCTATTTGAATATTTTATTTCAAGGGGTTCATTACTTTTGTTAAACTTTCTTTTTTGGAAACTTAAGTGTCATCTGTAAAGGAGGATATCGAAATGTTTCTGATCATTGCTGCAGTTTCCTCATAAAAATTTTAATGCTGAGTTGATAACTTAATAATTACACTAGTTGATAGTAGATATCATTCATTCTATGACCAGAAGAGGCGAGACCGCATTGCACACATTGTCTAAACAAGCTTAATCGTGTACTTAGCTTTATACTTGTTGTTTATCTCGTCCAGGTTTACTCACTCTTTGGAAACAGGGAATAACAAATTCAGACATATTAAGATTATGTACGCAATGTGGTCACTCGTCTCCTAGTCATGAAATAGATGATACGTATTCATAACTTCTTTTCTCCTTTTCGGTACTTATTCGCATCTTGTCGGAGTTCGGCGTGATTGATGCTTGAATTCAAAAGACATAATCACTGCCGCGCAACCTTTGATTAGGGATTGATTGATTGATTGTTTATTCAGTAAACACAAAGACAAACGCAAAAGACAAACAACACAACGATTTACCGAATGCGAATAATAAAACAAACAACTCATGAAAAAAAAACAAGTAAACAGGTTGCAAGAAATCTTAGGATGATACCAGCATGTTGCGAGATTTAAGGTAATCAAGCAAATGAGAGCAGAAAGATGCCGCAGATGAATACTTTAAAAGCTGGGGGTCCAGACCATTCCAGGGCATCTGCACCCTTCCAATGAAGCTTTGCTTATAGGAAGAAAGCCTGGCTTTATCGACTTTAATTTTGAACGGATGGCCTCTCGTCAAATTTGCTCGCTGTGGTTCTTCAAAAACGTCAAAAAGGTTAAGGTCAAGTTCGTTTGTGGTGAGCTTATAAATGAATGCAAAATCCGCAAGAACCCTTCTGTCTTCCAGTGTAAGGGTATGCAATTTTCGGATTCGGCCGAGATAAGACAGTTCGAAAATGCCTTTTCTGGCGAAAATTCTGTAAGTAAAAGACTTCTGGACTTTCTCTATAGCTTCAATCTGTGCTCTATCTTGAGGAGACCACAGGTAGGTGCCAGAGTAAGCGAATATTTTGTTCAAGTTGGGGTCCCGCGCAGAACTGGCGTTACTAATCATTGTGGCACAGCGCCAAGTTGGCATTATGCCACAATGATTAGTGATGCCAGTTCTGCGCGGGACCCCAACTTGAACAAAATATTCGCTTACTCTGGCACCTACCACAGAGGCGAGCAGTATTCGAGTAAAGGTCTAACGTAAGCAATAAACAGTTTGAAAAGCAATATGGGATCTCGATTGCTGAATGCTTTGAGGATATGATTTGATCGGCATTTAGCCTTTGAGACAATCTCTGAAATGTACCCATGAAAGTCGAAGCTGTCAGTATACTCAACACCCAAATCACGAATTGATCGTGTACGATGTAGGATGGACCCATCAAGCGTGAACTCGACTGTAGGGTGGTTTCTGCCGAAGGTCATAATAGAGGTCTTCTCCTTGGAAATATTTAGCTGCCATGTTGACGACCATGCAGCAAGTGCACTTATGGCTTCTTGTAAGAGAGCGGCATCATTTATGGTGTAAATTTTGGAGTCATCAGCATAGATGGAACAGAAGGTGCCCACTGGGAGAGCGCTAGGAAGGTCATTTATGTATATGAGAAACAGCAAGGGGCCAAGGACCGACCCTTGAGGTACACCGCTCGTGGTGTTGTAAACACGTGAATTAACGGTGTTGATGGTAACTGATTGTTGTCTACCATTGAGAAAGGAGTTCAAAAATTTTAACAACGAGCCTTGGATGCCATAGGCTCGGAGCTTAACGATTGCTGGAAGGCGACGCTCGCATCCGCGACGCAGTCTGCATCTCTCGCGAACCTGCTCTCTGATCATTCCCTAACCTCGATCAGGTCTCAAGCCCGCCTTCCAGCCGCCAATTCCGTTGAGTCAAAGGGTATACACAATTTAGTCGATTATTAGAGGGACAGAAAGAAAAAAAAGATATCAACAATTCAAGTACCACGATTGGGTAAATAGTCGGTTCCGCATGTCTCACGTTTTTTTCTCATCCCCACGTCCTGTATTCATTCATCAATCATCTCCTTATGAGATTAGAAGCAGTATGATCATTCACCGCTGAAAAATTAACGTTATGGATTTCGCGCGCCCTTGTCCAACATGTTAGAATGTGTTTTGGCATGTTCGTGAAGCATGTAGGGGTACGGGGTTCCGTATGCACATGTGTATACACGTAAAATCTTCTTTTGGCACAGAAGAAAACACAGTTCAAATCTTACTCGTGCCGAGTTCTTATCCAAATGTTATCTTTCTCGTAATGCAGGTTCATGGTAACAAAAGTTGCAAAATTCTTCCTCATGACTTCTCTGTTTTTGGCCACTGTAAGAGGGTTATCCAAATTGTTACTTTTCGCAAATTAGTGGGCTTTTTCTTGCTATTACACATTTATTCACTCACAGGAAAAAAACACTTGTGATACGATGTATACTTGAGAATTTCGAAACACTATTTTCAAACTGCTGTAATTATCTGCGAAACAATCTTCAAAGTTATTGACGTTTTTCTTAAGGAAAAAATGTGTACAACTCAGCCCTAATTCGGGTGGAAGAGGCGGCCTTCCACTTATTAACCTTGACGAAACGATCGAGATTCCATAACTTTGTTCAAAAGATTTTCTTGTGATTGGATTTTAATATTTGGAGAGCAAAACTACGGCGATACGAAAAACCATCAGATGTCCAGAATTTACTTTCATATGAAGGGTTTTCCAAAACCGCCGTGACGGTCCCCGGGGTATTTCAATGAGACCGTTTCCATAAAGCCAGATTCTGTTTCGGTGGTTTTTCGAATCCGTATAGAATTTCCTTTCCCATCATAAAAATCCGATCACGAGGGAATTATTTTAGACAAAGTTATGGATTCCCGGAGGCTTCGTCAAGAATGTTAAAAGTAGTGTTGTATCTAGACCAGATATATGCAGTTGAAAAAAAAAAAAAGAAAATATTGTATTAACGATTTTGACCCTTTGCAGTAGTGACACTTAATCCTAAAAATTATTTGTAACTCCACACAGGTTATCGTTTCGCAGATAGAAGGCGATTTTCTAGCCAGCATTAAAGGCAGTATTTATCGATATACACTTCATTGAGAATGGCTGGGCTCACAAATATTACTTGTCAGATACTCTAAATAATGAATTCGCTAAATATCCGCTCAAAGGATGGCACGCGCCCTACTTATTCAGTCCACCTGCGAAACAGTGGTAAATATTGTTCTCGAGTATTTATCCGAGATGAATGAAATGGATAAGTATGGCGTGTAACCATGCAGTGGTAAACTTGAATATCGCGAATATTGTATTTATTTGCTTATTCGTTTCTTGGGTACGAGGGTACGGTAGGAAAAGCAGGTCAAAGTTTTGCATTTCTAAAATTCAATTAGGCTACAGCATTCCAAATGCATCATAGTATCTATTAATGTGCCGGAAAAAACATCTATCGCAAAGTTGTGTAGAACGGTATGCGACATGTCAGTATGCAGTGTGCTACCCGCCTAGGTCTCACAAGAAAGATTCTTTGTTAGGATCATGGTCTCCATGCTAAATAATCCCATTAGACAAAGTTTTTAGCAAACTCAGATCACTTAGATCACACCTAGCTTGCGTATATGCGCTGATCTCCAGATATCTTGCCAATTCATTACGATATCCGTAAGCGTGTCAAATATAATAATTCGCTGCGAAGTTTTAGTGGATTCATCCTCGGCTAGGTGGAGTAACAAGGAATGGCAAAGTAGAAGTGGCTAATCCGGAAAAGCTGCATACCGTTGTATGCAGTATAAAACGCTAACACAAAGCAGTCTACTGTATCTGCTGAACGCCCTTGTATAGGAAGTTACTAGCACTTATTAGAGCTAGAAAATTGTACGTACAAATTGCGAAATCATGCACATCAACGCCTTTCCATCTCTAGGTAGGAGCTATATAAGGTAACCTAAACTGGCCATACTTTACCCGTGTTATCGATGTTACCAGTGTTACTCGTGTTACCAGTGTTGCCCATGTTACCCGTGTTACTAGTGTTACTCACCAGTCAATGAAATTGCGTTCTAGAATGAGACTGCATTTGTGATCATTTCACTACTCAACAGCAATAAAAGCGGTAACCCTAATAACACAAGTAACACGAGTAACACGATGGTCAAGGATGGTCAAAGCCTTAGCTCTTATCGTTAGATACAGGTTTTTCCCGGCATGAAGCCAAGTTGTATGGCGATATTTGCACTATTATACAAGATTCCTTCGCAATATATCGACTCGTAACTTAGTCCAAGATGACATTCAGCAGATGCGGAAGACATTTGGAGTCATCGTTATGTACTGCATCCATTGATCCGCATTTTGTTTGGATTGGCCATTTTGACTTCTTATCACTCTCTGTTCAATAAAATCATGTCTTTTCTCCTAGTAAGTGAAAGAGTCATTATCCAGATGCTCAGCGAATATGACGTGGATCCCGAAGGATCCACCTGTGGTGGTGTGCTATTTGACGAACAGGTATATCCATCTACTAGTGGAATCTCAGCTGGACAAGTTGTGCCTCGCTACGTTGTTGCTGAAGATGACGCCTGGATTCAGTCGCTATCAGATGTTATTTATCAGGAAGATACACGCCCTTCTCCAGGAGACACACACTATGAAGATGTTCAGACATTCAATCAGGTTAGATTCTGGTATGGAAAGAACTTGATACCGAGAACTGAGATCATTGCACAGGTTCATGCTGGTGACGAAGTGTATTTGATGCATGACGGGCGCGAGTTTGATGAACTAGCAGAATCAGTCGAGACTCTCCAAGTTGCTGCACATGAAGTCGTAGAGGACGAGATGGTGCAAGGTCAAGTTGAACCTATTGAGTACATCCAAAGCCTTCCCGGAGAGGTGGTCCAAGATGTGCCCACGTACCTCGAGTCTTCACAGATTATACCTATGGCTGAGGACACTCGAGTTCGTTATATTGTACAGCAACAACCGCAGCTGTACGAGGTTCCACAAAATGCACCCTTGCGGTACGAGATAAGGCCGAAGGCGATGTTTGAAGGAACGTCATGTCAAAGAATCACTCCAGTAAAGCAAATGCCTATCTCTGTAAATCGATCTAGGTCCAAGTCACTACCACGACGTCCCGTTCTTGATCCGGAGGATGCTTCGCTTGTTCATCTTACGCAGGTAGTATTTTCGTTCGTAGAAGGGCATACTGGTTAGTCGAAGTGCTTTTCAACGCCGATTATATATGTATTAAAGGGCATGCAACGCTATTCCGCAAAATCTGCTCACTTTATTACCTGAACACATCTAAGCGAGGAGTTGTGAGGGTTTATTGAAGCAAAAATTATGGTAGAGCTAATAGTTTTTTTCGCAGTTGATTTGCCTGCAGGAAGTAGTAACGAGCGTTTTGATAAAGCTTTTTGCTAAAATGCAAAGTCAAAACAAATTTTTAGATGCAAATTTACATAGTACTGCAAGCTTTACAGGAATATGATGAAGCAGAATGGGATGGCGTTGAACTGGAGGACCACGAGTACTTCGTTGGTGAAGGGTGTGCGATTATGGCAGATGATGATGGAGGCTCAAATCTATCTGCTCCTAAGATTCAACAGAGACGTAAGAAATTCTCAAGGTCACATATTGGAAAAGAGTCTGATACCAGGTCTTCCAGCATACTTCCCGCCAAACCTTTCACCGACTGAGAAGAAAGATTACTTGTTGGCGAATTACAAGAAAGCTTGCGAACGGTATTTTCCGTTTGCAAATACCGCAATGCTCGCTAAAGAGACGATATACAAACCAACTGAAGCTTTTGCTAGCGATTTGTATCGTTTTCACGCTCGAGGTGCTCATATACACGGGTTTTTTCGTACTGTTATAGATTCTAGGGATCCACCCAGCAATGGTAAGAATGACAGCGTTTATTCACCAATATTTTCTTGAATTTTTATTGCAGATCAAACAAGATATATCCAAGACATTCAGTTTGGCAAAGTGTTTCCATTATTTCCTGATTATGACGAGTAAGAATATTTTTGTTTGCTACCAGCACAGAATTCTGAGGTGTTCAATTTCAGATGGGATAAACAAATGAAGGATGATTTTCGTCAGCTTAGTAGCCGCCTTTTGAAACTGTTCGAAAGAAAGTGGTGGGTTTCCGCGAGCCGTGTAGAGATTGCTTGTTGTAAAAATTCCTTTTGTAGCTTCTACGCAAACGCTAAAAGTGGAGTTGGGAAGATCCCACCTGTGAAGCGTGGGGCAAGACCACAACCTAAACCACCTCCTGATTACGTGGAACAACAGAAAATCACATCGGAGGTGTGTCATGCCGCCAAGTTTGTGAGTTTTCCTATCGAAAATGGATTTGCAGGGTTTACCCAAAGGGTTTCACTCGGTCAGAGCCTCTGCAAAAAAGGTTAATCAACCGATATCTGAAACGCAAGCAAACACAGTTACTGCCACTAGACTGAAAGAGCTGCCCCAGGCATCTTCCTTAACTGAGGTGATTTCAATCTTGCACCATGTCTTTAGTGTATGAAATGTTCACTTAAGCAGGTACCGGTGCCGGAGGAGGTGGGAGCAGCCCGGGTCGAAGCTCTTCAATACAATAAACGTGCAAATGTAAGGCGTTTAGTGGATGATGCCTTCATGACTCGGGAACAGGAGGCCCCACTTGTGGTAGGCAGTCCATGTACAAAGATAATACTATTTTTTGCCATTTGCTATGACTCAAGAAATTCTAGATTAGCACGCTTTGCAGGAGTACGAGGCGCTGCCTTCAGATCCGAGAACATTCATATGTCGTGTGCCTCCTGGACCATCGAAGTGAGTGGTAGGCAATGAAATTTTCGTTACCCTTTACTTCTTGGATATACTAGCGTTCCAATAAAGCTCTCGTATTCTCAGAACCTTGAGAGATCAACGTTCAACAGGAAGGAAGGCTGTGCGGATGATTCAGAATGGAACAATCGAGGTTGTGATTGACCCTATCTCGTAGACCTTCAACATTGGTTTTTAGGCAAGTATTGATGGAAGTGGTCGCTATGTGGTAAATCTTGATGACATACGGGGCCAAAGATCCATTGCACAAGCTATGGATGCGGCAAGGTGGACTATAACTGTTTAATTTAAGATTTTAGGCTATGTTTTGAATTCCAGATATGTCCATCGGTCCGCTTATTCTCTTCGTGAGATGGCCGCCTCCGCCCGAAGGGGAGCCGCGAATTACGCTAATGTTCAAGCTAGAGTGAGAGCTCAAGGACCACGTTACTCTAGAATAGGTCAGGTCCCCCAATACATCTACAGCTCGGACACCACTCTGGCGCACGATCAGCTGTCTGAGAATATAGCACCTATGCGAAATACTGTCAGATCTGACGTATATCAGAGAAGTCGCTCATGCGGACGAGTTACTCAGACAGAAGCCCCAGCATATAGACGAAGTGCTTCAAGTGGGAGAAAGTGCTTCGAGTCACGAAATGTGCCGGACTCGGCTCACTTTGACGAAGAGGACCATAATGTAGAAGGGCCTCTCACTCGGATCGTTTACACCAATGATCCTTCGACTTCGATCGATCAGAATAATACTGCGGATGTCATTGTTACACAATCTAGAGATGAGAATCCAGGTGTTCCTAGCCAAAGCAGGGACCACGCCGAACAGAATTCTGCGCCTTCATCATCTCTAGTCAAAAATCAGAAGCGAGGAGTCTTGCTCAGAGATGAAAACGGAAGACTGCGAAGAGGTTACAAACTTCCCGATGGCACTATAATACTGGGGAAACCAAGGTACAAGCAGCCTATGGCTGGTGGAGTGTATGTGCTGCATTCAATGGGTAGAAATGATGGAAGAGGGGATCAGTGGAGGAGGACACAAGAACCTTTTGGTTCACTTGGTAGAACTCAAGAAGAAATATTGAGAACAGATTCTCATAATGTAGTAAGTGCAAGTTCTTTCAAAGCTTATGACTCTATGCTAATTTTGTCCAATCAACTTGCTAATCTGGCGAGCCGTTATTCCATTTTTGACCTTATTTATTAGCGAATTTCTTTTAGAAGAACAAGACCAGGCGGACCAAACAGTCTAGATCAGAGGCAGCGCCTGAAATTGACTCCGCACCAAAAACTGAATCGCGGGTAGATCTTAAGCTGGGGAAGATATTTGACTCGAAGTGAAATTTACCAATGAGATGCAAGCACTTGAAAGATATTCTGGTGCTGATCTCGAAATAGTTCTTCCAATTCTGCTCATCGGTATATTGAACAAAGTTGGAGTGATTTTTCTGCTTCCAAACTGGATAGTCGCGGAAAATGTCTAAATGACCTGACTTCGTAGTGATTGCGAGTTTGCTCCAGAGTTACCCTGAATGTCTGAGATGTATCTTTTGCGCATAATACAAATAATGGTAATAATTTTGAAGCTACTTTGCTACCTTAGTTCTGCAACAAGCAAAAATTTATTGCCTTTTAAGCCCAAACAAATGCCTGCAAGTTTGTTCAGTGAATCGTTAAGCAGATTGGAAAAGCATATTCGTAAACAACATTTCAAGACGGTCATTATGGTATACACCTGCTGGGGTCAGGCCACTTCAAGTCAAGTACCTTCCCTGTTGAGCATTTCTTTTTTGCTGGAACAAAATTTTGCTTCTTGCAGGGGCGTCGGAGATTTTCGGCTCGTCACTGCGCCATTGATCAGATATCACCACATCGGATTCCACAATGGTCAGAAGAGGAACTGAAGGTAATTTTTGAAGCCTAGCTCTTGATACCAAGTAGAATTAGCTGTTCGTTGCCCACGAAACACCATATTTTGTGATGCATTTTCAAACGAGTTGCCTACTAGCTCATTGGAAATCGTTCAGAACTTCAATCGAAAACGTCTACTCAAACAAAAGGAGGAGGATGAGGAGAATATCTTTGTTGATGTGGTATCAACAGACAGTACGACGGAAGAGAGTATACTGGAGCTCATCGCACCAGCTCCTCCACCTCCTACCGCAAATGGTATCTCTGATGCTAGCAACGCAAAAGTGAGTTCCACATGCAATGTTTTCTGCTGCTTCTTTCCAACTTCTGTTTTTTCAGAAGCCTGGTCGTCCTCACAAGAAGTATAGAGGTCGTCTAGCCAGGCAGAAACAAGCCATCAAAGATGCCGAAATTGCCGAGAAAATCGCTATCAAGCATCGAGAGCTGCCCGTACTCGACCTAACCCTCAAAATTATAGAAGACCCGTCGCTGAAAGAGGCACTACCCATTGTATGTTTTGGCTGTGGTTCCTTGTAGCCCGCATTTTAGCTCTTGGATAATACGCAAGAACCTATCGATGCTCAGTTGCTGCATGAAGTTGGAGATGTACTGAAGGAAATGATTGCTCAGGTTTCACTTGAAGATTTGGAACCGAAGAGAGATGTGAGCAAAGCTTAATCTTTCTACTTACTAAGCTTATTTGATTTTTACGCTACATCTCGTTTATGTTTCTGTGAATCAGGACTAGAAAACTGAGCTCATACTATTTCCAGATAAAACCGCGATACCGAAGGACTTGGGACTATCTACCTAGGATCCGCTCTAAGCGTCAGGAGTACAAGAAACAGAACGTACCCGTCAGTGAAAGGGTATTTCGATCAACTTTTCGAACTTTCGCATACAAGACAGTTTCAAAAAACTCTTTTCTCAGAGTCCTTCTCCACCTCCGCTCACGGTCAAGCCAAGAGGTCGCAACGCTGAGGTGCATTTTTTAAATTACTGTTTTACTATTGAGCGGTTCAGATTACGGTCCAGATTTGAATGTGCTGATTTTTGTAAAAGCTAGCGAAGCTTACAAAATAGTATCTTTTGCAGAAGTATCGCAAGCCAATAGCTGAGCAACAACATGATCACGACGAGAATTTATCGCCAAATGGCGGCCCTACTACCAAGGTTGGGACATTTTCTCATTCCAAAGCTTAGGCTATCTATCACTTAATTATTGGCAGGCTCCATTCGAGAACGAAACTTCCGAAGATAGCAAAAGTTCTGAAGCAAAAGTTTTGCCTGATTCCATTGCTCCATCGGAAGAGCATGAGCCCGAACCGCAGGAAGTACGTGTTATCAATGAATTTCTTTAATCGAGATGCCTAGGAAAACTTGCATTGAGACTGATTCTATGGCTTTATTTCTAAATCATTTTTTTGTAGGTGAACTTGCTAAGCACTGAAACAACAATAAATGAAGATGATTTGGTGGATGTTCTGGACCCATTTTTCTCCGATGCTCTGACCATGTCGAATGAAGTTGAGACTCAATCCCATTCGTTGTACATGTTCCAGAAGTCTATCAACGATATCACATTAGCTACAGATGCATCGCCGTTGAAAGAACAATCAAAAATTGAGAAAAGAGTATCCGTAACAGAGGTTCTCACGGAGTTGTCCAGAGCTTCGGATGGAAGACCTTCGGCAGATCTTTCCGATGAAGTGCCAAAAACATCTTTGGGGACTGAGGGGCTATCATTCGACGCTGAACCTCTCGAAACGACTTATATGACTGAAGAACATGGAGATCTGTGCCGCAGAGTGGAGGCAATGCTTGATGTTTTGCAGAACTTTTGTGAAGAAACAGCAGGGGTGTTTGTCCATGTGGGGAGCAGTGCAAACGCTTACAACGATGAACGTTTGCCTTATCTTCAGAATGAGCCAGCTATCACCAATTCTTTGAAGTCTGAACCCGATAATTTGCTCTTAAGGGCAAAAGAGCCGGATACGCAAAATTTGGAAAATGAGTTGTCAGAAGGTCGTGTTGTGTCTGAAGTAGTAGCCGAACCTGTCTTGTTCGAAGCAAAAGCGCCGCCGCAACTGTTGTCCACAGCTTGTAGTCTTGCGATTGCTAATTTTGAAGAAGATAGACTTTACACTTCTGCCAATGTGGATGTTGATTTTTCGCGCATGACAAAGCCAGGGGAGAGTGAAGCATCAGCAAGTTACACACATGATTCAATAGCTGTAGAGAAAGCGTATCTCTCAGTTTGCTGGGAAGAAAATTTCATCGAAGGAGCTTTTGATTTATATAAGGAAGACGAATCTGTGGACATCGACGGTCACATACCTTTAATCGCTCAAGAATTGGAAGTGTTAAGTGTGATCGACTTGGATTCCACGCTAGTAGCTGTAGCTCCTGTGGATAAACCTTTGGTCCTTGGCGAGAGTTTAACACTATATGAAACTGTCTCCATTAACGACAAAACTGCCCTTTATACCTCTTCTGTGGACCTCGCTTTCGAGAGATCTGTCGTGGAACTAGAGAGTATTTGTTTTTACACACCTATCGCTGAAGAAGAAGCAGCGCTGCTCTCCATAGTTGATTTGAAAGCTTCGTTGTATCTCGAGGAACAGCATGATGGGGCTTCGAAGTCATTTCCTATCCCTCGTGTAGGCGACCGTGTAGAAGACACTCGTTATGCTACTAGTGTAATGAAAAATCTCGTTAGCGAGAGAGCTCCTGCGAGATCAATAAATTTGGATTCCATACTAGGAAAAACAATCTCCAAAGATTTCCTGGGCTTTTTGCTGAAGTTATTAAAAGTAATAGGCACAGTGCTTGCGGAGTCGTTTCCGCGGGCTACGGAAACGTTGACGCATTTGGTCAGGTCACCCCTAAAACGGAAGTATGTTGCCGATGGATCCGGTGAAGAATATGAACTCCCATCCAAAAGAAAAAAGTTAGCAAGCGATGACAGCGCACAATTTTCGAGCTTCCAAGCACTTAATGTTGACTTGAGTAAGGAGCTGGAGTTAGTGGATACGACACCAAGCGAATTTCTGACGAAGTTGAAGAGGAGGAAAACTGTAAAGAAGCATGTGAGTTTCCAATTTAATTCCCGGCTGCTCCTGCTTTCAGAGTCAATGCTCTTCAGCGTGCGCCCATAATCCATAAGAAGAAAGACAGATATGTTCATCCGCCTCAGCATGGAAGCACGGCCACTGCTGAAATAGATGCCATCTCAGAGGTTTGTGTTGCCCATATTTGCTTGAAGTCAGTGTTCAGACAGATCTAAGCCCTGGTTTCCTATACCGGTACTGATGAGAAGGTCTCAATCTACCGTCCACATAATTGGGTGGTGGCAGAATATCGACGCTGTATAATCGCGGGGCTTCTAATCAAGTAATCACCCAGTTCCACCTGCAATAGAGCTTCCTAAGCGGGATCTCTTCAGAAAGTAGAAGCGGCAATGATGATGTCCCGCCCATCAACATGGGACTTCAAGGTAGTGTGTCCGAAAGCGGGCTTCGGGTTAGATAAGAATTTCGAAAATCTGATGATCATCTTGAGCGGAGGTCGAATATATGACAATTCTAAACACATAATGTCCAGTTTTGAAATCTTCAACTCCGGAATAAAGTTGATGGTTATAGCTACCATCGTCCCTTCTACCTTCTGGAGTCATTTTTTCGCTTTGGAGCTTATCATTTGCGCCGGGACTTGGATAATCGCTTAGTTATGGGTTTCGCTGTTATATAACATTACCTTTTCATCACTCATTTTGAGTGGGCAGTGCCTTCTAGTGAAATGCCTAAGCTATGTACAAACCCTATGATCTACTTTTTTCCAAGGAACTGACTTAGCTACAGCCCAGATTTATTGTTTGTAACGTAATCGAGGAGTCCAAATAGTTGCTTTTTTGGTCACGAATGAAACACATGAGCTGTCGCTTGGGCAAGGAACTATTGTTAGTTAGGGGCTCCGAGTCAATCATTTATCAATGAAACCAGGCTCCTAGAACTGCCTGAACTTTAGCACTGATACCTCGTTACTGGTCGTATTGACTGTGTTAACTATTGCGATGACTGTATCGGAAGTTGTTTGCAGTACCTGCGCAGCGACGACCTACCACACACAGCTTGCTCCTCCGTGACGGTATATATCTATCCTCTTGGATAATATTCATAAAAATATCTTCGACGATTTGAGCACCTCGAGTCATCGTTCATCGAGTCGCCAGATCTATTTGGTATCTCAGAACTTGTAAAACGATCATTCAAGGCAAGTCACATACTGAAAAGTTGATTTCTCTCAAGGAGACATCTTTTTTCAGAGGACGCGCTCTAAAGAAGTAGTGAAGCGGAAGGAAGCAGAAGCGGTGACGACTACCCATCATCAGGATAAGCCCAGAACTGTACTTCGTATAAGGAGGCCCACTACCGAATTTAATATTAAACGTGTTGAGCCTGACTGCGGTTGTGACACAAATATAGGCTTCTTTGGGAGAAGACTATTGGTAAGTTATTGGTTACCACTTTCTGATTACTTACAGACCATAGGGCGCTCCCAAAATCCACCTTTTATTCGACAGTAACTGATTATATTTTATTACTTTCAAACCCAGTAGATCATACGAATGTAAGAAAGGTACGATCATACGAATCTAAAAAGATGCAGTGTTGAAGGGGCTAAGCTATCAATCTAGTAAAGCAGAAATATCGTTTTCCTCTCCTTAAATATACAACGGCATGAGAGTTTCTGGAAATTCTGAACGGTTCTGGCCGAATTTGACTCTCTTGTCCAAATACTTCGAGAGCTAAAACTTTTCCGAGAGTTTTCATTCGACAGTCGGTTCCAGATTCCATGTAGCGCCGCAATACTCTTACTATAAAAATTTGTTCTTCAGAACTGTATTCATTATCTGATAGTTGTGAACTATTTGATACCTTTCAGGGATCACAGGATCAAAGGCTGCAATTTCGAATAACGCGAAAGATTTCATCTGTCACTTTTCACTATACAGAGACAATATTATGAGGATGTCACCCGCATTTTTCCAGTTATATCAGCACTTTTATTTGATTAAGTTCATAATACCATATGAACTATATGTTATATACACTAGCATGTCTGCTTCCTCCACTTTCGAGCCTCCGAAATTTTTTGGGTTAGAAAATGAATCGAAAATAAATCAAAAGCTAGCGATTTTTATATTGTCTCTGTACAGTGAAAAGTGACAGATGAAATCTTTCGCATTATTCGAAATTGCAGCCTTTGATCCTGTGATCCCTGAAAGGCATCAAATAGTTCACAACTATCAGATAATGAGTACAGTTCTGAAGGATCTCGTTCATGAAAAGTTCCGAAGGCTCTCATGTTCAAGACCCATATTGTATATGAATGCAAAAGTCTTATTTCAACTGTTAAGGAACTTATCCGCCATCTGAGAGAGCGTCACTACCGAAAGTCTGTTATGGACATCAGTGTAAGTGATACTTCCGAACTGACTAAGTAAAAAATAACGGGCATGTATCTGGCAGAATGTTTGGCCGCCCTGTTCTTGAAAATCCGCAACTCTGCTGTCTCAACGCGATCGGTTGATTCTACTTTTGTTAGGAAGAGGGTGCTCTGCTATGGGCGTTTTTTGAACAAACACTAAATGCAGAAGTTAGAAAGGAAGAGTAGGATTATCCGAGCTTTGTAACAAGATAGGTCGCGGAAGATTTGGAACAATAAAATCCGTGAAAAGCAGTACATAGTGTAGTGAGGCTTATGCTGACCAAACTTTTTCTAAAAAGTTACGATTTTCGAGATGAATGACAAGTGATCAATTTTACCGTTTCTTATTGCGAACTCGATAGGATCGGTAAGAATGTTATAGATGGTATTCACTCCATTGATTGCTTTTAGTGATCAGGACGGAAAATTTCAGTATGAATTACAGTAAATATCTCACTACTTTTCAAACTAGTAGAATATCCGAATTCCGTTATCATCATATAGATACTAACATTGCATATTACAGGAAATCAATTGTCGCAAGATGACTTCATGCAGAAGTGTATCAGATTGTAATTCGGTACGTTCTACAGCTTAGCATTTCTAACGCAAAAACTACTACGATGCTGTTTCCAGGTAGCATATAGAAAGTCACGAGAGCGGAATTACCAAATCTCTGATTTCAATGTAGGTTTTTGTTTTTGTTTCGAGGTGGTGTCTTTCATGCGGACGTTTTTTCAGCTTACCAATGTTAGAACTAGGAATCCAGTTGTGAAATACGACATCGATGTTGGTGAGTTGTATCTTAGTGGGTTTTTCTAAGAACTGGAGTAATATGTTTGGGCAACCTCATGGAGATTTGGAGAAAATAGCATCACAGTATTATTTTCATTGACATATCTTACAAGGGAATGGTCAGAAGTCGAAGTGGCCAATCCAAACAAGCTGCATACCATTAGATGCAGCATAAAACGCTGACTCAAAATCTGTCTTCCTTATCTGCAGAGCGCTTTTGTGGACGAAGTTATAAGCCGTTGAAGGCCATCATTTTGCTAAGAAATTGTGCGTATAAAGTGCAAACTTGGCCGCACAAAGCCATTCTCGGCTCAGCGTTGGACCAAAACATATAACTAGGTTTCTTCATATGACCCGTACCTATAGTTGAGCTGAAAGAGCAGTAATGTGCCTAATTTTGCAATTTTTGTATTCGGTTTTTTCGCAGTAAAGCTGATCATAACTTCGCTTACAAAAGCGCTCTGCAGATATGGAAGACAGATTTGAAATCAGCGTTTTGTGCTGCATCGTATGGTATGCAGCTTGTATGGATTGGTCACTTCGACTTCTGACCATTTCCTCGTTAGCTCCCTTGATGGAATCATTGAATCCCGTATCTCCAAGTTGCTTGTCTCTTCCACGCGCCGAAGGAAGCTTGGAGGATGCTGTGGAGCAGTTTGAAAAGGGTATCGGCTGTATTCTGAACCAACTTGATCATGCCAGAACAATCACCGAGGTGAGCACTTTTCTTCAGAGATTTCAAAATCACCGAATTGGCCAAAGAATTGATTTTCAGAACCTCCGAGATAAAATGCATTGGTCTCTGCATTTTCTCACGGACGCTCAGTTATTCTTTCTGGATATCTTATACGAACTATGGGGATTTACAGCTCGCTTCGTTCAGATAGCTGTTTTCAGCGTTTATCAGACGTGTCTTTGGGAAAAACATAGTGAACTTGTGGGTTTTGTTGACAGTTGTTTGAAAAAAATTCTCTTCGTTTTGTAGTTTGACGCTCGTATGTGCCGCCTTCTCTTCGAAATGAACGCTTCTGCTTCGCTTTCTTGTGATATAGGCATGTGTGCTTCGTATTTACGAGGATTCGAGGAATGGTGCAGGTGGGCCTTTTACTGGTTGTATTTTAATCTTTTCAATATTTGTCTTTTTCATTCACTTATTTCAGAGAGTTGAGCAATTTTACTTCCATATACAACCATGTTCATGGTTTGGCGCTGTCACTCATCAAACTGGTAAAATTACTATAATCGCTTTTGGCCAACAAACTAGTCATTCACAGATCACGGTGCCTGACTTCCTAAAGCGTTTGCAGCGGAAAACATTTTGGAATTCGAAAGCTTTACCATTTAAAGAAAGCGAAGAATTGTTTACTATAGATCTGGCACCGTACTTCCAAATTGGCACATGCCCATCCGAAGGAAAGGAGTTTGATGTGAGTGCTTTTGGTTGGAAAAGTTGTCCTTCTGTGTTCTCCCTTACCAAGTTGCCGCATACAAATGTTACTGAGACAGTGCCCAAACAAATGAGCTTCCAGGGATTTTTTTTCTGTGGAAACTCAGGTGCCTAAAATATGTCTTGGGAGGCAAAAACAGACAGTTGCCCAAGCGGAAGCTCACTCTTACGAATTTTCAATCGAATCGCCCAATACCGTGCTCTCTACGAGCGGGCCAATCAGCATCCTCGATTACGGTATGAAGGGGCGGAGTAGAAAAATTTCTGCTGCGAATGTTCCATGAGCTGCCGCTCGGGTTTTGACATATTTGAAGGCAACGTCTACCTAACTCCAAGAAGGCAAAATTTTTGATGGCGTTTAATAGCAAGGTCCCCTATTAAGTAATTATCCAAAATCCAGCTGCAAAAGATGTAATGTAAAGCGAAAATATTGCTTCAAAATGTAGATGTTGCTGGGGTCGCCAAGCCCATCAGCGTGGGTTCCGATAAAGAGCCAGAAAGTAAACTCAGTAATACTTAGAGATGTCGAGAACCCGCTTTTTGTAAACAAAAAGCACGTTCCTGACATCCATATATTCAGGAGTCCGGTTTTGGATTTATAACTTTTACACCAATCATGTTGGCGGGCGTGGTGGCTTTAGCAGCATCCACACTCCGAAGCGATTTTTCATTTCGCAATATACTTTTTGCAGCTAAATTTAAGCAGTCACTTAGTTAGTTGCCCCGGTAATATACTGCATCGAGATCTCACCAACCTTAGCAGGGAACGATACTTGGTGACCACGGCCATTCATAATAGTTTGTATATCAAAAAATGCTCCTTTCAATGCTGGTTCTAATACTATCTTCCATATCTGCGAATGATAATCTGGATGGAGTTATGATTATTTTTGCATGAATAAATTGCGCTACTGCGGAGGGTGAAAATCGTTAATAAAAATTTTTCTTTCTTCTTCAAGTGCTGAATATGGTTTAGATAGGTATAAATAGAACGTTACACCTTTCAATATTCTTTTCAGTAACTTCAAACGGTAAAGTAGATCGAATTGGGTGATTTTAACCACCTAAAAATACGCAAATTTTCTACGAAAAAAAGTTCATAACTGCTTTCAAATGATCGCTTCGCAGATTTCGAGCACAGATTTAGAATTAGCGTTTCGAGATGCACCTTATGGTATACATCGCATTCCACATGGCCGGGGTCACCAAGTATCCTTTCCTTAAACGTAAACGGTGTTTCCAAGGTCTTCCATACTAGAAAAGAAGCAGAGGTACCCAGATATGCCTGCAGAGTGATAAGTACGAACCTGATTTTTAGCTTACAAAGGCGCTGGATGTCAGGATGCCTCTCGTCAATACCATGTTGAAAGATCTGATAGACTTTGAAACAGCACAAGATAGCAGCAGTCACGATGTGTTTTCGTTCCTGTTTCCATCTCAAGCTATTGTGGAACTCTGTCAAAAACAGATTTCGGACGAGATTCAGGCGTACTACCACAGCCACAACATGGTATGATATTTATCTCCAATAGCTAGATCCGCAATCGTTTTGCTTTCAGAAGTCGATCACTTCACTGTCGAATCGCGATCTCTATGTTCTATCACCCACTGCAAGAGCTTACATCGTATCTCGTGTGACTGAAGCGCGAGCGCGAAGTCACATGCGAAACCATGTCATGAATATTGAAAAACTCATTGAAAAGGTATGGTCAGTGCCGTTACACTTTCACGAGAATATTATCTTTGCTTACAGCTGAATTCATTTTACGCTGACCTTGAAACGAGCGTTAATTTGCACAACGAAGCAGAGTTCAGTTACCCATGCGGTCAAATAGTGTTCGGATTCGATGGCGGGAGTGTGAGTGTATGCGTCAATAAGCCTATACCCGCAGATGTGCCACAACTTAGCAGTGAAGCCATGGAAGAGGCTCAGCGAATTATGGGCAGTGGTGTTGGTAATACGGTAAGTTTACGGTACCATAATAATGGAGTAAGTTCACAAGCGAACGGTTACTTGGTCTGACTAATCCAAGCAATTAGTATATTGTTGCGCTCGCTTTGAAACGCTGATTTCAAGAATATGTTCAATGTCTGTCAGGCGACTTACCTGGAAGGAGTTATGAATTTGAAAGCGGATTTTCAAGTATTTCCGTATGTTGTTTGTTTTATGTTTTGCGAAAAACATTTCAAAATTAGGTTTCTTGTGGGTGTGCTTTTTTTGTGAAATGCTCATAATCTTTGTGATTAATGCCCTCAGGCTGCTTTAACTGATTTTGTACATTGAGACTTGAACAAGTTCTCATATTCAAATGATCCTAAACCAAATAGAGCTCAGCAGATACAACAAATATATCAAAATTCGCGGTTTAGAGCTGCGTATACAATTGGTCTGGATTGGCAGGACAAGTTCTGACCATTTCTTGATGAATTAATTTTTCTGATTGCTCTGACAAAAAATTACTCATCTGTAGGTGTTCCATCCGTCTACAAGAAAACAAGACGGATCGAGCGAGAAGAGCAGCGGAATGAAGAAGCCGTTAGAAGCCGTGAAATACTGGCTCGCGACAATTCCAGAAGAAGCCATGGAAGAGGTGGAAGATGCTGAAATGCAGGCACCTTCCGGCCACGAAGATGAGGAATCTATGGACATCGTCTATCCGAGCAGTCCAGCCAGAGTGCAGGTGATTGACGACGAAAACGACGACACCGAGCTCGAATCCTATCAGTCACCATCGAGAAAATGCTGCGATGCTGACTCTTTCACAAAAGTCATTGCAGGAAGGAAAATACTGTATACCGTAAGGAATTATGCTGTTTTCTTCAAAATTTCTTCTAGTTGCTGCTTCACTGATTCATTGCCAATATTACAGGTGGATTGTGAGCAAGGATTCGTAAAGTTGAAAACTGTTGATTCCAAAGCCAGCGACGAACCTACCGATGACCTCGCTACCAGCACGTTCAGTACCGCTTCATTCAACTCCTATGATAAGATTGAGACTTTGAGAATTATCAGATCAAAGGAGGTCAGACTGAAATTGATAACGTTCATGAGTATTTTCAGAAATTCGGCTTTATGCTTTCAGACAGGTGAACTGGACTGGATGACCATGATTCAGAATACCTTGGAAGCCCCTCCCTTCCCAGAAACTTTGCCAAGATTCTTGTTGAAAAAGGAGTTAAGCGATCGAAGGATTTTGGATGCGTAAGTTTTCTCCAGACTAGTAAACAGTGCTCATCCACTGTTTTTCATTGCAGGATGAAATGTCATGAGTATGCCAATCACTTTGTCCATGAAACTGATGAATCTGGAGAGTTTTTGGATCAACGTAAGGAAATGAGGGAGAAAATCAAGCAGTTCCAAATGATTGACTATTATGAAAGAAGAAGGAATGCTAAGTGATTACTAAGCTTTACTTGTGTTATGAAAGATTAAAGTAACCTCCAAATATTTGTACCTTCTAGGTTTGAGAAGATAAGTAGCTCTACTCCGCTTGAAATGCCCCGACCTAGACTACTTGATCAGTTCCCAGCCTATGGTATCTGGGTGCACAAGGTTGCGCTCTACGCCGAGGAGGAAAAGAAGAGGTCCTTAATGATCCTTCGATTTTTCATAGTCCGTTTGATTTCTTTTTCTGGTCTGCTAGTACCCCACTGTTTTAGATTGATAGGTCTCAAACCATTCGACAATGAACCCTGCAGAGCAGCACGTCCTGAGCTGGTTCGCGGACTAGCAGAGCCCAAAAAGCAGAAGAAGAGGTAGATATGTGTTCGATGTAGTGTAAAATATCTTGAAGGAGTGCTCAGAAGAGTTTGTTCTTTGTGTTTGTAAAAGCAAATTGGAAGGCCTTAACTAAACCGTAGCCCAAGTGGTAGCGTTATTCACTTAAAGGCAGTGTCTCACTAGAATTTGAATCTCGAGATTTTTGCAAATTACAAGTCTTTCCGACCTTGTGTAACCCTAAACGGGCTCTAACTTGCGCAAAAACCCCGGAAACCCCGTTTTTCGAAACCCCTTCAGAAGCGACGCGGACGAGCTTTCCCGCTTCACTCCAGTTCTGGCCACAGGAATGAACACGTCAAGAAGGATGGTGTCGCCTGGAAAGACGTGTTGAAACGCGAGAGAGGAACGGAGAATTCGTCCAGCGCGAGCCGAAATGCGCTCCGCGAGCCACTTTGAACCAAATTTTCTCGATGTAGGAAAGGCCTTATAAAGAGGGACTTGGGCATTGACCTAGTAGGGGGTCCTCCAATAAACTTCGTGAAAATCTGGTATACTCTAACTCTGGTGAGACACTGCCTTTAACCGAGAGATTGATTTTCTTCAACCCAGATCGTACGCTCTACAGCACAACAGATTGAACTGCTCGGAAGAAGCACGATCTGAGCAGGAGTTTGTCCATCAGATTTCCTGCTACAATCCATATCAGCTGCCCCTTGGGAAATGGTTTAGTAAAGCTTTTTAAAAAGTGTCCGGTTACCTAGTCCAGGTGCCCATCTGTTTGGACACTGTCCGAAAAGCAGAAGTGCTGTTTAGGACTGCTTCTGCGATGTCATGGCTGGGACGGACAATGCATGAGCATTTTGGAGACTATCTTGAACTGGGCATGTCAAGGCTGCAATATGAAAAAGCGGTTAGTGTAGGGAATTTTCTATTGTTCTTTAGTAAACAGTTTTTCCAGCAATCCGGCACGGAAGGGGATAGAGCGCTAAGCCCACCTGACGCTATAACCAACCTTTTTGTAAACAGAAGCAATGGCACGATGACACCCGTGGATCCAGCAGAGTTGATTGAAAAACCGTATGCATACTTCCGACCGACAAATCCATCCAGGAAACGCCGCGTAAGAACTAATTTTATCTATAATAAAATAAAAAAATCGAAAGATTTTTTGATCTTAGATCGCCAACCACTAAAAACTGCTTACATTGTTTGAAAAATTAGTTCCTTTCCAGGCCTCACCTGTGCTTTTGGAAAGCACTTTAGTCAAACGCTTCCCAGAATGTCCAGTACTCGCCCCACTAGGAGTGGCGGACGATGACAAGGAGAACATCTTGCCTCCGGAACCTGATGGCTCTAGTAGTGATGACGACGAGGATGACTAGTATGTTCATCCATAGGTTCTTCAAAGTTTTGAGTCATTTGTAGAAATGGGCGGCAATGTCTTTATGACGATTATTTGATGTTTTGCTACAAGCAAGAGTTTCGCGAAATGACACCGGCACATGACATGGGTCGAAAAAATTTGTGGAAGATTTGGCGAACTTAGCATCGGCACAGTAAATAAAGCGACTGAAGATTGACGACCGAGAATGAGTTGAGGATTTTCTAACAAGGGAACGATACTTGGTGTCCGCGGCCTTTTGAGATGAGATGTATACCATTACACTCATACTGGAGCGCCGATTCCGAATCTTACTCCCTTTTTTGCTAATCATTTCTCTGATAAGAGTTATGAAGGATTTTCGCTCTAAAGGAAATACGGTCGGAATGCTAAAACCGGGCTACTATGTGGTGTAGAGGCTAGCGCGATAGCCTCGCAAGTCAATGCAGTTTAGGTTCGAGTCCTTTTGTGTTTTTCAGTTTTGCTTTGCCTAAATCAAGCTTCTTTTTGAAAATTAGGCATCTTCGACCGTATTTCTCTTCGGCGATTATTGACTCGAAAATCCTTCATAACTTCTTTTAAAGAAACGATTAGCAGAAACGGAAGTCAGATTCGGAATCAGCGTCCCAAGACGAGTGCAGTGATATACGTTTCATCTCAAAAGGCCACGGACACCAAGTATCGTTTCCTTGTAAGCCTACACCAGCCAAAAATTGCACATAATTTTGAGACTAATCTTGAGAAATTTTGCTCTGCCATAGAATTTGGCCAGTAAAACATAATGTGCTCTCACAGAATCACCTAGTGTAGATAGGCTAAAAAAAATCTTCACATTTGAGATTAGTCATTTATCAGTAGCGCAAATTTCTTTCGACCCATGTGCACTTGTTGGTCGTGTAATGTATACGACTCTAATTTCACCCTTTCACATTGAATTGTTGTTACTATAATAATATACCGGTGTTTATTTTAGTCCATTATTTTTTTAGCTTTATTTTCTAACACCTCCTGCCAAATCGTTTAGTTCTATACACGTGTCAAGAAAACTGGTTCTTAGTTATCTCAACTTTTTTACTGCCAAATCATATTCTGTTACGGTTTTCCTTTGATGACTTCCAAAATGTTTCTGATCTCTTATTGATGTTTATATTCTCGATACTACAATAAGAGTTAAAAGGATTTAGAGTTTAGATAAAGTTACAAACTTTGTAAAAGCGTAGCAATCGGAAGAAGCAAGTTTTGAGGGCTTTGGGGAATTGTGGAAACTACTTCTACGAAGATCCAAAATCCCTTTAAGAGAGTAGGTGAGAGGATTATGGCCATCCATCTGATGCTTTTTTTCCGTGACTGCTTCAAGACTGAAATCTACGAAAAAGTTTTTTCCCAGTGGCACTGCTAAATTTCATGGCTCTTTGAAGACGAACAACTCAGTAAATTGAACTTGAATATTAACTACAAAATGTACTGTTCGAATTTTTCCAATCGCAAAACGGTCTTCAGGAATATGCGTAAAGCAGTCTTGGGTCCGAAAAGCATGAAAAGAACGGAGTTGATTTGATGTATGCTTCATGTATAAACAAACAAAAATAACATTATCAGTGAAATTAAACAATATAAAAAGTATGTACAAGTGAGCACAATAACAATGTTCTCCATCACTGAGCGAAAAACAAACGAGCAAGAATATATTGCTAGTTTGTTCGAATGAACGCGATATTTAGCAACATACTCCTTTCAAGCTTGTTACTCCGCTTCTCCAAAAAGTACTAAATCTCTGCTAAAGCATCAACAACCTTAGCGTTCCAACTGATTAAATGAGAGAAAGTGCACGACTAGTGTGCAGAGTGAAGTTGCGAAATTCGATGACACTGTACCGTAAATGTTTCCACAATGAAATCCCGTAGAAGAAATACATCGCAATGAACAGAATGCATAAACAATAAAGTTACACGTGAAAATTGACTATTCAAATAGGCAAGAGCAGGCGACCGTTGTGCATGACCCCTCAACAGATGGAATGACGAGCTAGCGAACAATCCGCAATTGTGACCTGTAAAACGGAAATTTGCAGATTCTCTTCTTCCAAATTTGATACGAATTTAAAGAGATAATAGGAAATTTTTTCCAAACGCAGCCTTTCAGCTGTGCTGTGAGTAATGCAATCCTTATTTTTGTTTTTCGGTAGATGAATGAACGCAAATCCAAAGGCACAAATCTATTAGTGGCTTTACATCAGTCATTTCGACTTCTAAGTCCTCCAGAGTTCACGCGATTTCATCGTCTTGATATCGCTACAGGACAAGTGTTAAGAGTTTATTCCATGCTGATCTTCTTGTATTTCGGTTGTGATAGTCACGATTAGTCGTGTTGGAGAACTATTACAATCGAAATGCAAAAAGTCGGCATGCAATGATATCGTTACAGTAGTCTTGTCGGACCAATCGCGACCATACAACCGACCAGCTTGCATTTCGGTTGTGATACTTTTTCAGCCAGAAATTTTTGAATATAAAATGAAAATGAATGGAAATCGCGGCGATCAAATCGCGTGAACTCCGTTCGAGGCCTAAGCTTTGCGAAGTCTTTTATTGTTACTCGAGCGACTAGAAAGCTTTTATCATTATCAGACCTTACTGAACATCCCTTTTTGTTCTTGTAATCGCAGATAATTGAGAAACAACTTTTGAACAAGTCAAAGTCAGAATAGTGAAGTAAAGTCATGCAATGGACGCGATCTATCAAATAATGTACCCACTGGTTATCAGCTAGATTCGCTTCAGTGTCCCTCATGGCTTTCAGAGCAGAATGGAGGGCTGGCTTCAACCTGGATTCACAGTAGTACGAGTCATACCTCCGCGTTACTATAGAGTAACAGTAATTTCAAAATCTTGGCTCAAATACCATTTCAGCGCAGAGGACAGACAGGAGTTCCCTGTTCGTTTTGAAAATCATAGACTTAGCATTGTTTGATCCAGATTGCTCGATAGTACATATACTGCACAGTTTTCTATTCTCGAAATTCGGTCAAAGACGCGTCCACTCAGATTCTCGACTTCCATGTCATTGTCGTTCGAGGGCCTTCTCATGTCACTGATTCCGAATAAAAGTTCAGAGTCCGCAAAACCCCGACATTCCCCATTCCGGAGAAGCCGCGCGGCGGCTTCCCTGAACGGTGATTGGATGGGCGAGCATGGATGGGCGGGCGTTACTGGAGGGGGGCTGTGCCGCCTAGGGGTCCTCGTCCTTCCCCTTATTTCGGAGCAATTTTCTTGCTTTTGAAGGGACTTCTCGACTTGAGTATTGGCTCGATAGGGGGTCCTACTAGTACCAAAAGCTCAAGACCCCTAACTTAGAGTGGAAGGCGCCTACAATGCCTCCGGGCAACATTATAGGATCACATTAAATTCATGTTCGGTGTATCTGAAGACCGCATCACAGGTTTTGATTTTTGAAAGTTCCGGAATGGCGTCTCTTTTACGCTAACATGGTCGGGGTTCTCACAGCAATTTCTAAAATGACAAAAGATCGGTTAATCTTTCAATACTTTTGTGGGTAGGGAAGGAAGGTGGAATGCCCCCCCACCCCCCGAGAATGGGTCGCGAAATTTTTGAAACTTACTTATATGGGTTGTAAAAATGTGCAAACGACTTGTTTGCACTTGAAAATAATTAAAATAATTTTTAAAAATTTTTAAAAATTCATTTTAGCCTTATAAAAAATTTTTTTTTCGGGGTCGTGGCTGATGCCACGCCCCCTTTTTTCAGACTTTGGGGGTCGGGGACCCGCAAAAATTTTGAGAAGCACCCCAAAAAATTTTTGGAGTGCGTGGCTAACGCCACGCACCTTCTTTAGAAAAAATTTTTTGTCGCCCCCCCCCCCCCGAAAAAATTTCTCGGACCGCCACTGGGAAATAGCGATAAAAGGGAAATGTTAAATGCGATTCCATGTATTTTTGCGAAAAGAATCCGTGATAAACTGAAATTCCATGTTGTTCGTTACCCTCACGTACGTAAAACCACCAGCTTCGTGTACCTAGGAAGTACATCTAAATATGCAGAAACTGGTTCATCTCCCAAAACTATCCGAAAAGTACATTTAAAGTGCTCCTGCGTGCACGCCAGACGTGCAGAATCGAAAATCAGCGGATAACAGTGTTGGTTTCAAGCTCCACCAGTAGCTGCCAACAATGTAATAGTGTGTTTGCGGTGCAAAGAAAATGCGGCAAAATATGTGCGTGAACAAAGGCGACGCCAGTGATGCCGGCATTTTGCGCGCGCAAGTGCCCGGCATAACCGGCGTAGCTATCTGTTCACGCACAAATTTTGCCGCAGTTGCTTGGCACCGCAAACACACCACATTGAGCGGAAAATCTATTCGACTCTACCAATGCGCTAAACTTTTCTGCCCATATGAAGTAAATTCTAATTCAAGCTCATAGCAGCTTATCTGGGTGGATAAAAACCTGTGATTTCAATGGAATAACAGATCTATAAGCTTACCACAATAGCTGCGGCATTGTCACGGTATTGCCGAGATCTCAAGAAATGACGGTTTTGAACAATCACGTCCATGGCGTAGTTGTGAGAATTTTCTGTGAACAAATTTTCCTGAAAAAAAAAGAGATTCAGTTGGACAATTGGAAAAAAAATGGAACAAACCTTATCATCAAAATTAAATGCATGTACAGTTTTCATAATATGTGCAGGCGACAGGGCAACTCCATCAGAATGGAGGCAACAAGCGAAGATATTGTCATCAGCGAGGGAGAAACAGCGAATGTCGGGATCGCAAGAGACAGCGTAGCGCCCAGTTTCACTCGAAAACGACCAGAAGTCTCCTAGATTGCCAATTATGGTTATAGATATACGGTAGCAGAGATGAGGACTGTACCGAGAGATCTGGCGATGTTTAGACACGGGTAGTGTGACTTTTTGTGAGTGCAGCGAGATTGTCTCGCCCAGCAGTGCCGGTCGCACCACGAGAAAACCACCCGTGCATTTCCGCGGCTATCCATGGCTACCTAAAATACATGAAAATAAATGCGCATGAAGTAACAGAAATATTAGCGCAAATAATATTACACGTGATGATTTTGTAAATTTAATGCAGGGTCGATTAGCAGAGAAAGCCTCCAGACATTGCCTTCTTTTCCGGGATAGATTTCGCTCATTAGATCGAATAGTGGATAAGAACGATATGAATTAATGACCGACGTCCCCAAAATTTTTTTATAAGGCTAATTTGGATTTCGAAAGAATTTCAAAAATTATTTCAATTGTTTACAACTATAAACAAGTCACTCGCCCATTTTTACAACAACTGTAAGTAACTTTCAGAAATTTCGCGACCCATTCTCGGGGAGGGCATCCCCCCCCCTCGGACTGCCACTGGAATACAGATACATACTCAATATGATGCTATATTCTGCTCAATCGAAGCGCGCTTACTTTTCCAAGACCGAAATAGCGTACTCTATCGAAAATTGTGCTATTTTTCATTGGAAAGCGCTTTCTTTCCTTCGATCAAAATGGTTTTTTATGATTTTTCCCACTGGAGCCGCTTTCTTTCTATAATCATGAATAAGATTCAAAATTCTGCTGTCCTGTTCGATTAGACGCATCTCCAATAGTACAATACTGTGCCTCAAAATTTTGCTCTCTATTCGATTAAAGCACGCTTTCTTTCCTATGTTCAACAAATCTGCTATTGTTCCATCGGGCGCGTTTTTTTCCTACGACCGAAATGCGGTATTCTATAATTTTCTTTTATTATATCTTTTGGATTAAAGCGCGATTTCTCTCCATGTGTCGATAAAAAGCTCCGAAATTCTGCTATGTCCTGTCGAATAAAGCGCGTTTTTTTTTTCAACATGAGGTACAAAGTATTTCAGATTGTTTTATGCTATTCGATTGAAGCGATTTCTCTAAGACCATTTTCAACCCCACAACTGCCGCCGTCGTGCCTCCATCCTATTTAGCTGTAAACTGTGACACACTGGGTACGTTCAAACACTCGCCTGTCCCCCATCCCGAGCAACTCGTGCCCGTTCCCGTGCATTTAGTGAATGTGGTGACGTGGCTCTAATACCGGCTGGATACCAAGAGCGGCCCTCTGGAATGACAACTCATTTATTACGAAATAGTAAATCCATAAAGCCAACAAGCATTACCTCCTACGCGGATACCCAGAATACAGGTGGAATCACCACAATTCGCTGTCCATAAACGCCCACGACGCAGCAGAACTACACAGGCGGTGGTACCTGATCTTGAAGGAATCGAACCGCAAGAGGCCCATGTGCCTTCAAGATGCACGTTGAATCGGAGCAGTAAGCAGTAGGGAAAACGGCGTACTCATTTCTCCTAGCATCTGTTCATTTGTATCGTGAAATGCTTGCCGTAGAGCTTTTTCCTCACTCCAACCGCGCCGAATAAGTCGATCCACCTGCAATTCCACCAATGAGTTTTAAAAAAATGCAATGTGATGCTAGATCGATTTTTCTTCACATTTTTTACCTTCAGATACAGATTCTGCTTCATTTTTTGCAACTTAAAGTCCTGTACAAAATTTATTTACAAGTGATCCTAGCGGATTCCATTATGCTTTCGAATGGGCCACAAAGGAAAGCTTTCAAAGGCCGATTTTCATTGGTAAGCACTGATAAAGGGCATAAAAGAGAAGAATTATTCCATTTCGCACTATTCAGGCATCAAAGATGCATGCCTGTCTGTAAATTTGTAAGTTTGTAAGTTTCGTTTTGTAAAGTTCATTTTTTGAACATCCGGACCAAGCTTTGCATACTATCGGCTGGCAGAATTGACAGTTTCTGTAGTGTGACTTGCGTGTAGAATATGGCCAGATAGCGCATCCGGCAAATCTGCTAGGCTTCAAAGATGAAGCGGGCAATGTCGTAAGCAAATTTTGCTTATCGAGTGATATTTGATTGTTTTTTTTTTGACCCAGCACTAAGGTAGAAAATGCATAAGAGGAGGAGGGTTGGAGGAGTAGGAATGCTAATTGAGGTAATATCTAACATCCAAAACGTGTCTTGCCTTACTTTTTTATATTTCAGATCCATTTATGGTGGCCAGGAGAAAGGAAAACGCCAAAGAAATTCAGAACAACTCATGACGCCAACACCATTTTATAGATCTTTTTGCAAAATTTAAATTAGGGGCTGAAGCTTGATCAGAGCTCGGCACGAGCTGGAACCAGGGGAATAAAACGAAATCCCACATGACTTTCCCAGAATTTTACGAAACCCCTTTCAAATCCTAAACGTAAAATCTTCAGAAAACGAAACGTCGATTGAAAAAAACGCCGCAACTTTTGCCCACAAAAACGATATCCAGCTTGATCCCATGCCAGCTGTGCCGAGCCCTGAGCTTGATAGATGGGTAAAATATAGAAAACTGCAGGGTGTCCCAAAATAATATATCGAACGTTTGTTTTTTAGTAATTTTCTTGTATAGGCAGCTTTTGGATCTTAAGTGCCATACAGTAGGACTGCTTCCCTAGATTTATGGTATAGCAATCAACGGCCACCCTTCATTGATGTAGAGATGATACTGGAGTAAGAATATCCGGCAAATGTGGCCATTTCGGAACAAAAAATCTCCAGAAAAGTCTGACACTTTGTGTAACTGGTCTTCAAGCTTAATTCCAATACTCAACTTTGCGCAGGATTGTGAAACTTTTTAGACGCTGTAGTCGCAGTTTTTATAAGATTGAAAAAACGACTGCTATGGTATTGTATACCTGGAACTTCTTAAGAAACATCATAAATGCAAAGTTCATATTGGGAATCACCAACTCTAATTAGTCCAGAGTAAGACTTTTTCGTTGTTTGGTGTCCTCTCTGAGGCAAAGCATAACCCTCAATGACGTAAAACCCTCTTCAAAATCCCTACAGTAGTCCTGCAGTAGCTAAGAGAAGTCGATGATTTGCGCTGCACTGTAAATCTAAGTTGAGACTAGCCCTACCGCATGGCATATAACGATGCCCAAAACTCTGCATATAAGATGATTATTGAAAACTAAGCGTTCGATACGTTCAATTGGGGCACCCTATATATGCCTTCAAAAGGGGAAATCGCGAGGACTTTTGCAACACTTACACATCTCTTGTGCGTGTAAGAGATGCCTACGATACCGCTCGTATTTTCTGAAACGACGCCCAGTTGCCCGACTCATGTGATATTACCGTAGCGTGACCATATCTCGCTTCAGAGTGGACATATTTTCAATCCAGGGACACTATTCGACTCAGCTCAGCGCCGCACACCTTCTGATACATAGAGGCCCGCTTGGACACACTAGGAGGCAGGATGCCACAAATCGTTTCAAATTTTTGCTTACGGTAAGCCTGGTGCAAAAATCTAGAACGATTCGTGAAATTTGATCTTCTACTGTGTCCAAGCCAGCACTATATATCAAAAGACGCGCCGCATCGAAATGAGTCGGATGGTGTCCTTCGATTAAGAATTCGTCCACTCAGGAGCGAGATATAGCCCCGCTATGGTGATGTCACTGAATCGAACCGCTGTGCGTCATTTATTCATAAAATAGCGGTATTGTACTGTTGCAGATGGTCCGAGACCTCCCCGTTTGACGACGTATAGTTTCTCAACCCGCTGAGTAAATGATGCACATTGCTTTCTCTCGATTCAATCGCTTTTTACACTTTCCATTATGGGAATCCAAACCATGCCACATAGGGATTGGTCAACGAGGAGACTGCAAAAAATAGGTGTTCGAAAAAATTCGCTGTCGCGACACCTTTTTCGTCAAAATTCAATGTTATACATCATTCTGGACGCTAACACCATCACTCAAAAAAAAAATTCCTCTCCTTTCGCTGGCCGGTTATGTCAGCTAGACTTTATGGTGCCGGTCAACCATCATCCACGTGTGCGAAATTTTTACATGACTCCCACATAATTTTGATGAAGCGATAGATGATACGACAGATATGACACACACGACACACGAATAAAAAATCAAATTACTATACATGAGATATGTGACATTCCATTCTCTCACTAAAATAATTGAGGCTCATGAAACAATCCAAAAAAGGGGGATCACTTACGCATCTACCAAAAAGCTTCAGTCTTTCTTCAAGGGAGTGGGAATGGGATAGAAGAAATGGCATCATAAGCTGATAGCGATTATTTAGAATATAGGGGAGTGTAGGGGGGAATCCATAAAACTTCAGCGAACTGCCTAGACAAAAATTGGGAACAGGGCTTTTTCTTGGTTTTTACCCTTAGTGATACCTTGGGTTCCATTCCGCTTACTTTTTCTATAAAATCCTCTCTTACTACTTAGTTTCCTCGCAAGTATCGGAGCGGAACTATTCTATACGAAGATGCCCCACAGTAATTAAGAGTAATTTCTGACCTTAATCGGAAGAATCTCCTTGGCTCGTTGTGCAGCTGACTCTCCGGCATGACCATCGAACAACCCAAGCAGTACAAAATCGAGCTGTAATGAAAATTGTAACGTAACCAGATGTTTTTCAAAGATATTGATGTCAGTCAGGTGATGCATGAGTCCCATTCCATTCACACCAGATACATTTTGAAGCGGATAGCGAAAGACTCCCCAGATGTGAGAAGTATCGAAAACGTATTGAGTTCGCATTGTTTTGGGTGTGACACGAGTTGCCGAGCAGCATACCAGTGACGGTCGCATGATTTTCGCTTGGGAGGGGGGGGGGGGGGGGGGAACGACAAAAAAATTTTCCGAATGAAGGTGAGTGGTGTCAGCTACGCACTTCAAAACTTTTTCGGATACCCTACAACCCCAAGATTTCAGAAAGAGGGCGAGAATCCCAAAAAGAAATTTTTAAAGGCCGATTTGTCAAAAATTATTCCATTATCCCAATTTATTTACAAGTGTAAATAAGTTACTTGTAATTTCGCTCATAACAGTATGAGCAGAAAAGTATTCCAAAATTCAGAAATGCTAGTACCGATGGCTTATAACTATACCCTCTCACTCCTCCCCCCCCCCCCTAGGTAATCCACTATTTTAGTATTTTTTCAATCTTTAGTGATAGTATTTTTGTAGCGAATCAAATGCAAGTACCGCATGAGAGCGCTACACACTATTTGCATAGTTCTGCAGATACAGACTTGCATGTATTTTTTTGCTCAACCACGTTTGAAAAAAAAAATCCGCACTCATGAGACAGCACCTGTCGCAAATGCTGACAGCGACTCGCTTAGGGTGCATCGGCTCAGTGTTCTTGCACTGTGGTGCTTTTTTGCGTGTATTTTTACGAAAAAAAAATGCGCTACCAATGAAGAATTCATGATTTTGGTGACAAAAATCAAACGATCATACAATCAGCATGTTTTGCTCGACAAAATGGTTTTTCCCTTTGAGACCGACAAAAAAAACGAATTCAACGAATTGAGCAAAACTACTGTAGTCTGATAGATGATATAAAATCAAAATAGGGACCAGCATAGTGAACAGAGTTGTCGGCGACACTTACATAAAATCGGCTATGGGATGAAACGCGCGCTCCATGGCTAATTTTTGCGCGTGAGTGATGTCATGTCCGCACATGCACTAAAATTACTGTCAAATCTACCAGACTGCACGCTATTCATCAAATGTGTATTTTCAATTTTTAAAACATCCGGATAATCTGGACAATTATTCCCTTTTGATTACTTATGTACAGAAAGTCGATAAAGAATTTTCACAAATAATGCCAACCATTAGTGCAGCTTTTTCATTTGAACTAGTCGCTTGTTTACTTTTTCCGTAATTTTCAATAATCCCCTCTACCAACCAACTGGGTACATACCAAAACGGATTATTCATAAGAGGGCAGTTCCGTATTGCAATCCCAACGAGATATTCAAAGAAAAAATATCTAACAAAGCTAATAACGCATGTTTTAAGAATTTCTATATGACACATCCCTACAAATGATCATCCTCTTCGATAAGCTGGTCTCCGTTTTGTTGAAAAAGATATCTTTCTTCGTCATTTCGAATAACGGATGAAACCTTTTCGTCAAACGTTGTCTCCGACTTTCTTTTTCAAACATGGGATTTGCATGTCGCTATCGAAACTTGAAAAGCGCTAATGTGCGATCGTAAAATAAATGTGCTGTTTTTCAAACATTCGATAGAGTTGAATCCAGGGGGAAGAATATGCAAGTGTCTGTGAGCTTTTAGGAACCAGAGAACGGAAATGATAATAACATGATTTTGACGAGAACAAAAAGATGTATAGTCAAGCCCATCAAGTTCCTGGAAATAACCTAATTTTATGCATAAATACAATCCTAATCACTCAATAATTAACCCCGAATGATATTCTAACTTGTGATTTTTCGCAAACTTGATCTGGTTCTGTCTTCAATACTTTTTCTTTTGTTTTCGCACTTGAAAATCACATCAGGATGTAAAATAACTCGTTCATAAAGCGGGGTCATTTATCAAGACCGTGTTACAACCTAATGATGTTTCCGTTAAAACTGGTCGGAAAGAAAGTGACAGTGCGAAAACAGTTTTTTTCTCAGAAATGCGATGAAATGGAACACAACTTACAAACTCAGAAAAGAGGATTCGATTTTTTGAAATTATTATACCAACATACCGCTCCATTTTTGGCGAAGCCTCGATAGACACATATTCGATCCTCCATGGTGTCTCTGTCCCCACGATCGCAACTCGCAGAAATTGAGTAGGAATACTTAGGACATGGACTCACTACGACGTCCATTCTGCGAAACTGAAGTCTATTAACGGTCGAAGAACACCAACGGTCGAAACGACGTTTATACTTAGCTAGCATGTGATGCGATAACAACAGAACAACCCAACAAAACAAAATAGAAGAGTCACAGGGAGATGTGCGAACAGATGAATCAGGATAACAACAAGCCGAAGGTGTGTTACTGGACGGGGCTTGATGGGCGATTGCCTATGAAGTGCGACGTGACAAGCGATCACATGGGGGCGCCACTGACGATCGAAACGAACGACGGTGGCGTGCCGATGCACGAAATCAACACACAAACGGACATAATGACGTGTAGAACATTGATTGAGAATTCATCGACAGTTAGGAATGGGAGTTCGATCACATCCGGGGCACCTCGCGAATTCCCAAAATCTTGAAACAGGTGCTCATGACGTTCGCTGTGACTTCGCAGAGCACGAGGCGGTTGAAGTGTACCACTGTGTCGCCTGCAGAGATAAACAAGATGTTATCAGCGATTCCAGACCACGCTACATCTAACAAGAAAATGATGTTGCATCGTCCACCCAAATCTGAGACTGGTGAGATTTTGGATGAATTGCGAAAGTTTTGCTGGAAAAGCTATATTCCGAAACGAGAAAATTGTTCTAAAAGGTGAATGCTGCAGGGGCTGATACGCCCATCGATGTGAGTGGTTTCAACTAATGAGCCAAAAAATTCTATAGTACTTAACAAAATTGAAAATTCGCCTTCCAATATGAAAAACAGATTTTCGACATTTCTAAGTGCTCCAAAGTCCACTTTTAAACTCATCACCACTCAGCTAGATGGACCTAGCGACCCCAGGGACAGTCGCCTCCTGGAGCCTTTCCTCGCTTCCGAATTGAGCTTTTGCGGTGGAACTTCAGCAATTACCTAGTCAAAGGTTTCGCTGTACTGCATTGAAATCTCACCAACCTCATGCCTAAGATAGTGCCTTTAAGAAGAAATGTACATTACTTAAGAGAGCATGAACGCCGATTACAAGCCTTCCTCATTTGTGAAATATTTCTGGGCGAGAGTTATGAGGGCACATTATAGAAAGATTTGTATGGTAGGATAAAATCAATCGATAAAGATTTTTAACTCAGATGAGACAGCGTCAAGTGAAGGTACTTCCGAATTAACAAGGGAGGGGAACCGAACCCGAAGTGGTCGATCACTACAGGCACATCATCACAAAGACTTGAAGCACTGATTGGAATGCAAGGCTGGGACTAGCCAAAATCATCGTCATTCAAGCATTTTGGACTCAAACCTATTTGGAACAACTTATCCATGCTTAACTGTAGCGCAAGAAGCGATTTGAACGATTTCCATTACTAGTAGTCGCTCAAAACCATGCAAATTTCGATGATAAAAACGCCCGCAATTTCCTCCCCAAAAGCGTTCTGCAGATAAGGGAGGCGAATTTGAAATCAGCACTTCAAGCTTTTTGTCACAACATGCATTTTGTAGTGATCGGCCACTTCAACTCCGCTACCCTCCCTTATAAGGGTAGTGATGCATAGCTCTTTATCATTTCTCCAAGCAAGAGCTAGAAAAAATTTACGACTGGTCTACCCCAGTTGGTTTGATTTTTTAGTCCAACTAACGCTCACAACTCCTCGTCCAAAACCGTTCAGCAGATAAGACGGGCGAATTCAATAATAGCGTTTCAAGCCTTCTAGGATAGTGTAGTCCATCTTTGAGGCTACTTCGACCCATCATCTTTTTCTTTTGAGCACCACCACTTGAGATGTCTACACAGCTAATCTTATCAGCATCGCTAGCAGATGTACACTCCCAGGGTGTTGTCGCGGTTTATCACACTGATCACCGAAACATTGGTAGTCACATGGCGTGTTTATCATTAGCAAACAGCTGCTTCAAAAATCTACCGCATGCCAGGTTTCACAGATGACGTATTTAAAAAAAGGAGACGAAGAGTGCTTGAGAACGTGAGCTTGACAAGTCGAAAAGACAAAGTCAGTTTGTAGCAAGTTCGTGCCTTTTTCAATTTAATTTTTTAAAATCCTTCAAAGTTTCAGTTGGTTATAAACGTACTTTGCAGCCTTTTTCCTACTCTTAGTGAACATCTGCCTGAGTTTCTCGCATCTATCGATTTCACCTTACGATTAGAGTTTTGAAAATAAGCAATTTCAGCAGGCAGGCGCGTTTTCGACACATACTTCATTGCGACTTAGAAATTCGTCAAACTGCGGGAGGAGCACGAAAAATTTGCATTTTACTGCTTACTGATACTGCTTTAATTCAAAGAAATGAGCTCCGAAGACCGAACACAAATAGTAGAAGATCTTGAAAAATTGAATTTGCTAACTCATAGAGATGTCTCGCCATGTTCCCTTCGAATTTGACGATTACCTCTAAACGCGCTCCCGAGGGAAATCGACACACAGGCTAAGAAATTCCAGAAAGGATGGGATGTCCCTCAAAAATGGGCTTCACACGTTTTCTAGAAAAAAAGAAATCGGACCATGCCCATTTTAAGTGAGCGAAACGAGGAGACTCACAGCGGAGTAGGCTTGCACGGCCGATCTTTGTAACAATGGCATTTGGTAACGGACGGGAGTAAAGCGTAAACAATGATAGTGAATACTTACTTGATTAGCTTGTTGTTTTGCTTGCTGCCAAGTTTTTCAAAAACACATCAATGAAAAGCTCGAATAACGAAGAAAAAGTCCAAAAATGGACGTCAGCCACTTTTTCCATCGAAGCTTGGAACTACTTCGATATTTCCCACTGTGTGGAACTTAAACAAGCAAATTGTCCAGCAGATTTATAGTTTTCAAAAGCGTTGCGAATTTTTGCAGAGTCACGCGCTAGAAGAGATTAAATGAAAAATAACTTTCCTAGGCAACAATTATGGTTGCGCCACCGATGAGAGATACTGCTCTATTCATAATCATCGTGACAACGTATGCTATAACCTCCACGTACCTAGCGCTTTCATTTTTTGTTGGTAAGAAGTGCATTCTTGATATTTTTGGTGAGGAACTGCGTCAAGCACTTGCCAGGTTTCAAAAAGAATGCGATCATATCTGCCCCTTTCAGCACCACATCAAAAGATGTGATAATGTCAGTGATAAGAAAAGATTTAGATTGTAAGTAGGCGTTTTTCAGACTGATTTTGTCGGTTCGTGAAGAATCGAAAATTTTTTTCGATGCTTTACGTACTGACAGATATTAACAGAAAAGTGAGTGATAACTTCTAAGCACTGATTAAGCGATGTCAAGGATGTAAAAAATGCAGGTTTCAAAAACACTTCGAGCAAATGTCAAACGAAAGCTGAATGACAATCAGTTCGCTTTCGTCAAACGAGGGCGTCAACCGGCGTTGTCCATTTAGATGCGTCAGATGCTCGGCAAACCGTGAATGACGTCCTTTGATCATAAAAGGATAGACTTCAAATAACTTCATAATAGGGATGCAATAATGAATTTTCGACGTACATGAACAAGTATGTAGAAAGCACTTTTTTACTACTTTCAACTAGCCATTGACAGTCGATTATCAAAGAGATGTTCTTATGCAGCTTTACAAAGCTGTCAAAACTGCACGAGTTACATCTTAACTGATGGAACTCCAGTTTTGACAGACTGTCGTACATAGAGCGCACTATTGTCGACCGTTGACAGCTTTCTCATTTGAATATATCTAGCAGATCTTCAAGCATCAATTCTAAAACTGGCTTCACCTTGATTTATAAAAATAACTAGATCATCGATTTCTCCCCATTACCGTGAGTTTACAAAAAAAATTTCAGCATCAACGCCAAGATGGGGCAGCTGACATTAGAGAAACTTTTTGGAAGCCTAAAAGCATTCGCGATGGAGTCTTTGAAATGACTATTTTCAAAGCAAACATATTACGGTTTGGGAAGTTTTCGAGTGGTATGATGAAGTATTGGATGAACAGCGAGGAAACAGCTATTACAATACGGCCATTTCAATTCTGGAGCGAGAGACTGAAGAAACTTCATTATTTGAATCAGCCTCGACTGACAAGGGAAGTCCGATTAGTCGAAGTGGCCTTTCTGAGTGAGTCATATACCATTTTTAAGAGGGTTAAACGCTGATTCCGAATCTGATTCTATTATCTGCCGAGCGCCTCTGCATGCCGAGTTATAAATATTTTTTGGAGCGAAAAATGAATGCAGAATTCAAGTAAAATCAACTATTACGGACTTTTCAGTGCCTAAATAGAGCAACATGTAGTATGAGTGTTTTGCACATAAAGTATCCTTTAGAATGGAGTGCTCTGATAAGCAACATTGGACCGTTTGAGCAATTCTGACGAATTTTGCTCTAATTACGCATTCGATTTTTCAACCTAAAGAACGCTCATAACTCGGGGCCCAGAGGAGCTCGGCAGATAATGAAGACAGATTCGGAATCAGCATTTAATGCTCTTTAAAATAGTATAGTATATGACCCTCCTAGAAAGGCCACTTCGACAGACCCGTCCTCCCTTGTGAGTAGCAGTAGAAATTCTAGATTTTTTGAAGCCAACTCAAAGGTAAAACATCTCTCAAAACCTCACTCTCGAAGTTCCCGTGATCCTACGGTAAGGAACAGGGTGATGACTTGCTCTCTACCGTATTCAAGAAGTCGAAGGCAGCTCTACAAGATCCCGAAGATCGACAAGGGAATTGTTCAAAAAAGGAGTGTATACACATTTTGGAACACTCGTTATGTTAATCGCAAGACAGAATAAGTACCCTATTTTCAAGTGTATGAGTCGTATGGGTTTTTTTTCTGAAATCGGACCAGCCCAAACACGTCATAAGATTTCGTGAACAGCAACCACCGTGTTGCGTATTGCCTAAGAGAATCGGCATAAGGATCGCTTTCCGAAACACAATGAAACGGCTGAGCATCTCGCTTGAAAATTCGGAAAAGCGCGACTTATACACCTGAAAACAGGCGAAGAAGAAGGCGTAAGAAGCTAAAGTGGGAGTAACCAAATAAAAAAAATCATTCTCAGGATGATGCAAGAAAGGAAACTGGTGTCTGGTAAGGAAACTTCTAGAGCCTTTGCTTGCATGCAAAAATTCTTTCGCAGACTCTTGAAAAACCTCAATGGAAACAAAAACGTCGCTTACTGCTCAATTAGCTACTTCGAATGAATCTGAGATTTTCTAAATCGCGTATTTCACGCAGCAATAAACTGCGCAAAGTCGTTGCTTATGAGAAATGTCAGGTTAAGCTGGATGCATCTTACAGAGACTATCACATTTGGACATTTTAATTAAATTTTTTTCCATGTCAAGAAGGTCGCCCCACGAGGATAGTTTGCAATGTTCACAAATGAACTACGTGCTAACAATGGCTCTCGAGCTTGTGGGAACGGATCTATTGTCTTGGCAGCAAGAACCAGGTTTTGCTGCAGTGAAGTATGTCAGGTATAAAGCACTTGACATCGCGATGTTCCCTAGAACGATTTTTG